ACGTCGGCCACCGGCGATGCACTTGGCCGAAGGCGACGTCCCACTACTCCCCTCATCGCCGGAGGCTGACACCGAGGTCAGCCCACGCAGGTCGGCCACGAGGAGAGGGGCAGGGGTCAGAGGGGGAGGGGTAGGGCGGACGTCCTCGACGTCCGTAATAGCAAGCTCACCGACCTCGGCAAGCAGTGGCAGCGTCGCCGACGAGGTGTCAGAGGGCGGGGTGGGCGACGAGCGGCCGGACACCGACCCGTACTCCGACTTCCACTCGGCCAGCGACAGCTCCTCGTAGAACACCACATCCGACGTGGTGAGCACCCGGTCGGCGTCGACGTCGAGGAGCTCCCAGCCCTTGCTCGCCGCCGACACGCCAAGGTGCAGGCCCCACCTGGCCTTCGGCTGCGGCTTCCCACCACGCTGCTGCTCGGTGACTAAGAACTGCGCCATGCAGCCCCACGCCCACGCCAGCGACAAGTCGGGCTTCTTCCCGGTCAGCAGTTGGTACGGCGTCGACCCCGGCGGCAGCGCCGACCTCTCAAGGCAGTTGCGGACCCAGACGGCCTGCCGGAGAGCGAGGTGCCACCAGTGGTGCTGCACGCCCATGTGCAGCAGCATTGTCCGCACCGACTCCACCACCGTCCTCATCTCCCGCTCCGCCATGCCGTTTTGCTGCGGGGTGTATGGGCAGGTCAGGTCGTGGACGATCCCCTTGCCGTTCACGAAGTCGGTGAACTGCTTCCCGAGGAACTCCCCTCCCCGGTCAGAGCGCAGCATTAATACCGACCTCTTCGTCTGCCGCTCAGCCACTGCCACCCACTACACGAACGCCGGCAACGCATCTGACTTCTTGGTGACCGGCTTCACCCACACGTAGCGGGTCTTGCGGTCCTTCAGCAACAAGAAGTACAGGCTGCCATCCCCAGCAGCCACGCGGAATGGCCCGCACAGGTCGATGTGCACGACGGCCAGCACATCGTCGGCGTCGGAGCCTTGATCGGGGAAGGTGTGCCGCGCCAGCTTCCCGCCGACGCACGAGACACACGGGGAGTCGGCGCCCGTCGCCGACTTGGGGTCCAGCCCAATGGTGACCTCGTTCTTCGCCGAGCTCCGTATGGTGTCCATGCTGACATGTGCAAGCCGGGCATGCATACGGTCCGGCGTCGACTTCGTCTTCGAGACGATCGCCCGCAGAGCCACAACCTCCGTCGTGGGCGACGTCGACCTCGTTGAGCAGGGACGCAGGTCGGTGCAGAGGACACACCCGGAGTACGTCGCCCGACCGAGCACCTCTCCCGTTGCCGAGACGAGCACCATCCCGTCGCCGTCCTCTTGCAGCTTCACGCCGTGCTCCTTAAGCTGGCCGGACGACAGCAAGTTCGCCCGCACACCCGGGACGTACAGCACGTCGGGGATGAGCACCTGCTTCCTGGCCTCCCCTTGCAGGGCGACGGTGCCGCGGCCCTGGACATCCTGCAGCGCCCCATTGAAGCCGCGCACGTGCTTGATGAAGCCGCTCGGCTGCAGGTCGACGAAGACTTCCTTTGTCCCCATCAGGTGGTGGGAGCAACCGCTGTCGAGCAGGACCACTGCCGGGTTCGCCTGCACAGCTGCTGCCACCGCCTAGAAGTCCTCTCCGGCCTCCGGCGCCAGCGAGACGGTCGGCTCCACGACGCCGACCAGAGAGCACGACGCCGTCTTGTCATCCCGCGCCTTGCTGCCAGCAGGGGAGTCGGCGTCGTTCGCCGAAGTCGACGTCTTGGTCGACTGCTTCTCCTTGCGCGGCCGGTTTCCTCCTCAACGAGGATGACGACTGCTCGACCTCCCGCGGCCGCCCTTGTTGTCGTCGTCGGAGTCACTGCGGTCGGGACACTCGAAGGAGAGGTGATTGGGGCTGTGGCAGATCCAGCACTCCCGACGTCGACCTCCCCCTCCTTGACCGCCGTCCTTGGTCGACTTCTTCTCGACCTCCTTGGTCGACTTCCAGCCACCGCTCCCGCCGCCACTAGACTGTCCGCGCTCTCCTGGTCGGCCTCCTTGCTTCGCCGGGGCGACGAAGTTGGCTTGCACCAAGAGTTCCTGTGACCGCTCAGCTTCCTGCATCGCCTCGTCCTGCAGGATGTATGAGGTCAGGTTGTCCTCGTTGAGCGTCGCCCTTGTGCTCGGCGCCATGGACAGCCGTTTCAGGAGGTTATAGCTGCTAGAAAGTCCCTGCATGACATGGGTGATGTAGGACGCCGTGGAGTACTGCGTGCCGGCCATCCTGATAGTGGCGAGAATTCGCCGGGCTCGGTTGCAGTAGTCAGTCGCTGTCTCCTCGTCACCCATACGCAGGTGCGTCAGCTGTCCCTCCAGCTGGGCGATGAACAGGTCATCGGTGACCTGGTACGTCGACTCAATGAAGTGCCACGCCCGGTGGCCGGCGTCGATGTACTCCCGGCACCACTTTAAGGCGATCTGCACGCCCGGCGAGCAGCACCGCGAGATGACCGTGAAGGTCAAAAGCTGCACGGCGCGGAACTCCGCCCGCAAGTCGGGGTGGTGTTCTCCAGGCGTCACCACGGTCCCTCGGGCGAAGCCGATCAGCCCAGCCATCTCCAGCTGGGGCTCGATAGCTTCCTTCCAGGTGAGAATGTCGGGTCGACCGAACAGTGGGGGGGTGACCGAGATCCTGTCCGGCGTGAACTTGAAGTAGCCGTAGCTCGGCGCAATCCCACCTGCCGTCACCTGGGTCGCCGTCATCGGCGACAGCCCACTACGTCGGCCTCCGACGTCACCTTGCGAAGAGCTTGCAGCCGCCGACGTCTGCATCCCTCGCGCCTGAACGCCGCCGACTTCACCGGCATGTATCACACCTCTTTGCCTCGACGTGCCTCCAGCAGTGCTGCCGACTTGACCACCACCGGCGTTGACGCCCACGTCGACGCCGCCATCGTTGTTCACCGGACGAGGAGAGGCACGTCGAGACGGGTGCTCCGTCGCCCACGTGGAGCGGAGTCCAGCCTCAACGACCGCCCAGGGCAAGTCGCCATACTCGTTGGCCTCGTGCTTCCTCCTCGCGTTCTCCAACCGTGCCTCCAGGGTGTCTACCACCCCCGCGTCACCTACGACTCCTACCATAGTGACTACCGCACAGTTGCCGGCCTGTAACTACGAAATAGGTAAGTGGTGTCTACGTTGACCTGAGTGAAGGGTAAGTCGTGTGCCGTCCACGCTCACCGCACCATGCGGAGATAACTACTACAACAGGAGCTTAGAGTACTGGCTAGGCACGTGTGCTCGTGTGATGTCTGCGTTCGTTGGTCCTTAGACGTTTTCCTAGTGCTCACACTGCTTGCTAGTTCACGAGGCAATTTTGGCAAGAGTTTCACTAGAGAAAGCTGTCAATGATGGTACAATGAAGTTGGCAATGCAAGACTACATCAGAGCTAGCATTCAGGTTGGTCGACTGCCAGCACAGCATGGTCGACCGCGTTCCAGCACGACTTGGTCGACCACGCTACAGCAGTGCAAAGCCAACGCTGCAGGTTGACGGTGTGCCAGCATTGCTCACGCAGGACAGCAGTGCACCCGCTTTGCAGGTGCGCGCAGATGATTGGCATGCAAAGTCTCGTCACCTGCACAGCGCACACACCACGTCAGCCTCGGGCTAGCGACTGCCTCTGATCCGCCACGACGACCTCGGGATACCACCATGGAGGTCGGTCTCGCCAACTTCGCCTAGGTGACCGTCGCACTCCTTCGCAGAACCTCGTCACCCAGGTATCCTGGTCGACCGGGCAACTATGTCGACCAGCTGCTCCTGTATGTGCTCGTCGACCTCCCAAGTCGACAACCACACCAGGTCGACCTCACCAGGTCGGCCACTCCTCTAGTCGACCAGATCCAGGTCGACGTCACTCCTGGTCGACCAGTGCAGTTGTCAGCTACCCAAGTCGGCGTCACCAGGTCGACGCCCCTTCTACGTCGGCGCCGACTTCCAGACTGACCTCTTGAAGTTGGCGACCTCCCAAGTTGGCGACCTTGCAAGTCGGTGACCTTGCAAGTCGGCGCCGACTTCCAGGTCGACGTGCCACATCGCCGACCACCAGTTGAAGTCGGCCGCTGGCTTCCCAAGTCGGCGGTATTGCAGTGGCGCCGTGCAAGTCGACCAACCCCGTCGACCAGCTCGTCCAAGTCGGCGTCGCCCACTGCTGCAAGTCGGTTGTACCTTCCGTACACCCCACCACGAAGTCGGCTCCGCCCAAGCGTGGACGGGGCCAACACACAACTCCCGTTGACAGAAGAGGGTGAGGAATGGGGAGAAGACGGGATAGGGGAACAAGGTGCATACGCGTCGGGGGAAGGGGGAGTACACGCGACAGTGCAAGGGGGAGGATACGTGACAGAGGAAGGGGGAGGATACGGGACAGTGCGAGGCGGTGAAGACGAGGGAGACGAATGGGGAGAAGGCGGGACAGGGGAGCAAGGTGCATACGCGGCAGGGGAAGGGGGAGTACACGCGACAGTGCAAGGGGGAGGATACGAGGGAGAGGAAGGGGGAGAAAATGGGACAGGGGAAGGGGGAGGATACGCGGCAGGGGAAGGGGGCAGATACGCCGTAAGGGGGGGGAAAGTCTATGAGGAACAGGAAGGGGGGGAGTTTGCGGCGCAGAGTGAGGGAGGATACGAGGCAGAGGAGGGGGGGAGAGTCATGGCCGAAGGCGGGGAAGACGGTCGGGCGAGAGATCCTGCCGAAGGCGATGGTGCGCTGAACGCAGCGGTGCGACAGGAGGCACATGAAGGCGGGGAGGACGACGCTGAGGATGATGATGTTGAACGTATGCTGTACCCTGTCAGGCCGGTTGCGGAAGCAAGCCGTGGCTCCACGATGGATGAAAGTGCGGAGGAGGCAGCCGCGATCATGCGGGGCAAGGCCAAGTGCATGGCGACCCTAAACATGGATGAGGGTGTACGGAATGACGTGCCGTGCAATGTCAAGAAGGCTGCAAGGAAACGTGGGCGCGATGAAGCAGTTATTGAGCAATTGGCGCCTGGAGACGGGCGCGGCAAAGCACGGGGCAGAGGGCGGGGAGAAGGGCGAGGTGGGCGAGCAGGGCGGGGCGGAGGGAGAGGAGGGCGAGGCAGAGGACAGGATGATGGAGAGGGGGAAGGGCGTGGAGGGCGAGGCGGCGGCCGAGCAGGGCGGGGCGGAGGGAGAGGAGGGCGAGGCAGAGGACAGGATGAACAAGAGGGAGAAGGGAGTGGAAGGCGGGGCGTCGGGCGTGGAGGGCGCGGCGGAAATCGTGGAGCGGGTCAACTTGGCCGCGGGGCTGGAGGTAGAGGAAGGGGCGAAGGAATGGGACGAGGAAGAGGAAGGGGTGCCACAGGTAGGAGTGACGTCATTCCCTCTCTCTACCATCTTTCCGCCCTTGCCTCCCTGCCATTGACAGGAGATGCACGGAGGAGGAGGGAGGGAGAGGCGGGGGTGTGCATGGTCCTCTCTGCTCCTTTCCTATTGGGTTATTTTCAGCCCCGCTGTTCTCACCCAGCCCGCTCTCTGCCATCTTTCCACCCTTGCCTCCCTGCCATTGACAGGATATTGCACGGAGGAGGAGGGAGGGAGAGGCGGGGGTGAAATCGATATGCCTTCGTAATGTCCATCTCACACTTGCACAAAGTCGTTGTATATGTGTCATCGCTGGGTGGGGTGTTGGTTATGACCCTGGCAGGTCCTATCGCGAACACTGGGATTGGGCCACCCATGGCGATTTGTCGCTTCGAACTTGCTCCACAGGTACACTCGCGACCTGCCTTTCAGATGTTGCAGCCACAACATGCGCCAGCTGTAGCCAATGCTCGACCGACCGTGGGCCGATCTGGGGGACAGGGGCAAGTACCTACAGCCGCACCGTGCAACTCGGGCTGGCAAAACGCTGGAGAGACGGGGACTGCACCAGCTCCGCTACTGGCACATTCGTTAAACACTGGCCGGTTGGGCGGTGCATCATGTGCTTACAGCCAGGGCCAGAACCGTGTGAACCCGGGTGCTGCCAGCGCATCACGTCCTGCAAGCTCGAGCCCAGCCCATATCAACGGTTTCCCGGCTGCTTCCCAGCGAGCAGCCATCCCGAATGCCAGTGGTGCTAGGTCCGGCGCAGCAGCTTCACACAGATCAGCATCTTTTGGGGGGCAGCCTCCCCCTAGCATGATGCCTGGTGGAGGGGTCCCCGTGCCTATAGCTGATGCGCAGACTCCCCACCTCGGTTCCCCTGCCTCAGTAGGTCATGTACCGGGCGGCTCCTCAAGAAACCCCCCTGGGAGTGGAAATCTCGCGAGGCCAGGTGTCTCCTCTGGACACGGCTATGGTTCTTGTGGGGGCATGCATCAACCCACCCCCTCCCCAGGTCATGCGGCTGCTTATTCAGGCCATTCCAACCATGAGTTGGGCGCCATCCCCAATGGAATAGGGGGGCGTATCAGCGGCGGTGCACGCGCAGCAGCATCAGCACCAGCGTCTCCCGCGAGTATGGGACGTGCTCCAGTGGCCCATGGACCGTCCGTCTCGCATCCGCTGAACCAGTCGGCCTCGGCCGGTAGTCGGAGGCCATTGGCTGCACCGAGGCCAGGACTCGGCATCCCCCTTAACCCGGGCCCTCGCCCAGTCGCATCGGTGGCAGAGCAAGCTGCGATGAATAAGTATGCAACGAAGGGGGATTTGGCTGCACTGCGAACGGAGTTTCTACAAGCTTTACAAGCTCACACTTGCCTGTGTGGAGCATCTGGAAGCCTGGGTGCTGCACCACATGGAGGCGAGAACAATGGAGGTGGTGCGGGGGCTCAATATAAACCAAAACCTCGCACGAGATCTGTGGTGGCCATTGCGTTGGATGCGGTGTTGGCCGAGCAAAAGGATTGGCGAGTAAGTTCAAACGCTTCCATCCTGTTATATTGCGTGTGTATCGGTGCGTAATACATCATTCCATCGTACACTATGAACAACTTACCTGCCTTCATCCGTTCTTGTCCCGATACACAATACTTTCGTGTCATGGCAGGGGGCGTGCAGTCAAGTGGTGACTTGCCTCTTCTGGACCGACGATGCAATGGAGATTCAGTTTTATCCCAACACCAACGAGGCGCTTGGAGAATTCGCGAAATTACTATCCCCTGATGCTATGACCCATCTAAAGCTTCTTTGGAACCTAACCGACGAATTCATCGTGGGGACTTTCAACAAGATGTGCAACACCAACAGAAGCAACGTCGCGAAGAAGCTACGAGCTGTTGTTTGGACAGCCCTGGGGAGCGTAAAGAAGCAACACAAGGTGGCAGCACTTCCCAAGGGAGTAAAAAGCCCTGAGGCCTTCTATGAACACAAGGAACTCGCCCAAAATTACATGGACGGTACGTCGCATGGTGAGGGAGAGGGTGAGGTGTGCGTGGGCCCGTAGCTACTCTCATCCCTTCCTCTCTCTCTGTCCTTATCTCCCCACCATTGGCAGGACACGCACAGAGGAGGAGGGAGGGAGAGGGTGAGAAATTTCCTTACCCGTAGCTACTCTCATCCCTTCCTATCTCTCTGTCCTTATCTCCCCGCCATTGGCAGGACACGCACAGAGGAGGAGGGAGGGAGAGGGTGAGGTGTGGGTGGGCCCGTAGCTACTCTCATCCCTTCCTCTCTCTCTGTCCTTATCTCCCTGCCATTGGCAGGACACGCACAGAGGAGGAGGGAGGGAGAGGGTGAGGAGTGCGTGGGCCCGTAGTTACTCTCATCTTTTCCTCTCTCTGTGTCTCCTTATCTCCCCGCCATTGGCAGGACACGCACAGAGGAGGAGGGAAGGAGAGGCCGTGGTGTGTGTTAGCCTCCATGCTGCTTGTATTGGGTTTGATTCATACCCCGCTGCTCCCCTCATCCTTTCCTCTCTAACTGTCCTCATCTCCCTGCAATGGGCAGGAAATGCACAGAGGAGTAGGGAAGGAGGCCGTGGTGTGTGTGAGCCTCCATGCTGCTTGTATTGGGTTTGATTCATACCCTGCTACTCCTCTCATCCTTTCCTCTGTATCTGTCCTTATCTCCCTGCCGTTGGCAGGAAATGCACAGAGGTGGAGGGAGGGAGAGGCTGAGGTGTGCATGGGTCTACATGCTGCTCATATTGGGTTTAATTCAACCATGCTATTGCTCTCATCCTTTCCCACTTATGTGCTTATCTCCCTGCCTTGGCAGGAAATGCATGAAAGCAGATGGAGGGAGTGGCTGAGGTGTGTGTGGGCCTCCATGCTGCATCTATTGAGATTGGTTTTATCTCATCCTTCCTCTCTCTGTCCCTATCCCCCGTCCACTGTCAGGAAATGTGCAGAGGATGAAGGAGAGATAGGCTGAGGTTTGCGTGGGCCTCAGAGCTGCTCACGCAGCCTTCTCTATCCTTATCTCCCTGCCATTGGCAGGAAATGCAGAGGAGGGAGGGGGAGGCAAAGGTGTGCGTGGGCCTCTATATTGCTCCTCTGTGCATTGCCCTTGTCTCCCTGACGTTGCTCGAGATTGAACAGATCAGTGAAGAGCTTTGAAGATGTGTACGTGGCTTTATTTTGCTCTTGATGGTGTAAACTCTACCCTCCTGCTCTCACCCTAAACCCTCTCTGTGCTCCTTTACCCACTCTACAGAAGAGATGGGAGGTTTACGTATCCATGTGGATACAGAAGACACGCAGTTGCCATTCTCCAGCAAAGCCTTTGCAGTGGGGATAAGACATGCATTCACACGGACCAATGTGACACTGGGGGCGTTCAAGACCCGTCAGATCGCGTATGCTGTTCTCGTGGTAAGAACAAGTAGAGAGATAATGCGCAAGCATATTTATCGGCATCTAGCGGAGCTTAATTAAAATACTCGTTGTTCCCTTGCAGCTGGAATGTCCTCTATTGGAGGAAGAGGGCAGGATGACAAACAATCCTGAAGTCAACCGGGAAAAGTACGAGAGTACTGTGGTTAAGTGCAGGAAATGGGTAGAGCTAGCTGTCACCACCATGGGCGTGCGCTATGATTCACGCAAGAACGCATTCCTGTTTGGCAATGGTGTTTGTATCGACGCGAGCGACTACCCGGCATCGCTGAAGAAAAACGTCACTAGGTAGAAAGTTTGCCTGAATGTTGGTAGTTTAGTGCGTAGTAATTTGGGATTAATAGTAGTTATTGTAGGTTCTCAATACGGTAAGATTCTGTAGTGGATTTAAAAATGCTATTTATTGTATTGAATGCTTATAACGAATATATGAAATAGCCATAAATAAGTATAAATAGTAGTTGTGATAATTGAAGTGCTACGGTCTATCATGTAGCGAATAGTAAACGGGACATGTGAAATAATTGTTTTTTAGGTCCCGCGGATTCGGGCGAGCTGCGACGGAAATCTGACGGAAAACTCAAGGAATGCTCGAGCGAAATCTGTTGGTAAGCATCTGTCTGAAATCTGACTAGAAATCAGTTGGAAACATCATCGATCCAGTAGTGTGATTTCTGACGGAAGAAGTTCACAGTTTTCTGTCAGATTTCCGAGGGTCAGACAGAATTCCAGCCGAACGCGTCCAGTTTTCCGACTCTGCTTTTTGTGATGCAGAGTTTCATTTTTGGGTTGTTGTTTTCTGAATACTTTGGCGCAACATTTCTGCAACTTTCCTGCAGCTTCAAACCCGAATTCAAACGGATGCCTTTTCCGCGATGCAGTTGTCACGGCCCCTGACAGAGACCCGACAGAAGCACGTCTTCTGGCATCACAGAGCGGCCCAGACAGCAAGAGAAGCGCCCTGCACGTTGTTGGGGAAGAGGGGATGAGGCCCGTTCCTCCGCCCGTCCTGTCCCGGATGTTCAAGTTGACTCAAGAAGCATCACTGGGCGGCCTCTGCATCAAGACAAGATTCCCGCACGCTGCTGAGAGTGGCGCGATCAGGCCCCGCACTCCGCCCGTCCTCTCCCCTCCAACTAATTCGAGCACAGCAGCAGGCGTTTCGGCATTGCCGCTGCCTCCCGTAACCAGCTTCGGTTCGCCTTCCCCGGATGTGTGCCCCCTCAGTCCCGTGGGTGACTCAATAATCTGCACCCGCACGAACTTCCCTGGTTTGATTGCGGTGGAGAGTGGTTCCAAAACCCCTGCTGCTCCTACTCCCACTACCAGTACCTGTGGTGATTTCTCCGGGGGGCCACGTGAGAGCACAGATGCTGCAGCGGCTGCTGTCCCCATCCCGTGACGACACGAGGGAACAGACGCTCGTTCATGCTGCAGCCGTCACAGTTACTACTGGCACCACTGCCTTTGACACTTGCTCCATTGCTGCTGCTGGAGAGGGGTTGCAGTCCCTGCCTAGCCATGTGTCGGCGTGTGTTGCGATGCTGGCAGCTTTGGGTGCTAGAGTCTTGCTCAACGCGCCTGTGGCTGCTGCTGTGACTACTGCTGATGCACCTGCTACTCCTGCTGTGGCTCCTTCTGCTGCTCAGGCTCTGGCCACTCCTCTCTTTGTTGCTGCTGCTCCTGCTGCTCCTTCCGAAGCGCCACCACTACAGGCAGCAGCAATGCACAGAAGCTACTCGACCCTGTACATCCCTCCGCCTTCACACTGCTTCGTCCCATTCACGTGCCTCTCCGAACCATTCTCTCCTCAGAACTGCAATGCAAGCCTTCGTTCTGCCACCACTGGTGCCAACACTTGTGCTGTCTCAAGAAAGAGATCGTGGGAGCAGGCTGTGATGCCGATGCAGTCACGGCAGGGAGCGGAAGGAGCTATCGATGGGCAGCTGATAACTTCCGAGGTGTCTCGAAAGCGGTCCCTGTCTCAAGATTCCTCCACGGGAGTGGAGGGAGTTCTGGATGGGCAGCTGAAGGCGCTGCTGTTGGAGATGGAGGAGGAGGAAAGAAGGGCAGTGCAGGCTCCGTTGGTTGAATAGGAAGAGCAGGTTCGGATGCTGGCTGGATCCAACAGCCCTCAGCTAATGCAGCATGAGATGCAGGCAGCGTTGGAGCCGGTGCTGCCTTTGCCTCGGATTCACCCTGCACAGGATGTCCCCTTGCCAACTCAGCAGCCACCCATGCATGCGTTGCTGGACTCTCTGCTGCAGCAGCTGGAGGCGACACAGGAGTATGAGATGAGGATGCTGGCCCAGGCAATGGAAGAACAAAGGAGGGGAGAATTGGGGGTTGTTGTCCTTCAGCCTCTGGCCAAGCCCTTGCTGCCCGGGTTGCAATCGGTTTTACAGCCCTCTGACACGTCACCGCAGGCGTCTCCTCATCAGCAGTCAGTGAATCCAGTCGTGTCACACAAGAATGCTGCTCCTTTGGAGCCCCGCACTCCGACTCAGTCGCATTTTTCGTCAATGGGGAACAAATATGCACATAGTGTGAGTGTTGCAGATTTTGAGCTGGAATTTCTGGCCGACATAATGAATACATGGATTTGAAAAGCATCATGAGAGTGAGTTTGTGTATCTGGTCTTTGTGGCTAATATATGTGCAGCTTGTTTGATTATTACTTGGAGTGAACATGCAACATTCTATACGCGGACAAAGTCCAATTACGAAAACGGCACGTGTCGCTTAGGTAAATCTCACCTCGTTATCCGCCACCACACACCTCGAGGAACCGACGAACCGTCGACGCCACGTTGTCACTTCCTGAAGCATCTTTAGTTGACGTGGCATTTTCATAGGGTGCATGACAGATCAGAATAAGAATCTCCTCACGAAACCGTACGTCACCATATCAGCCGTACCGAAACGTACTTCACCTCATTATCCATCCTTTCCACCTCTTGAGCTTCCTCGGATCCTAGTGATTAGCTGTGTTCCCCAAGAGCTTGTCACTCCCCCCGTGATCAACCTCCCCGCCAGGCCCCATTCGCTCTTGTTTTTGTCGAGTGTCGTGACAAGAGCTCAGTAGTGCCCAGCTTTCAGTTGTGTCCAGCTTTTCACGCACACAGCACGAGCAGACCTCCACTTCACATCACACGCTCAGACGACGCCTTCGGTCGCAATACGCGTCCTGGCGGCCGCATTTCGGCATACATTCCCATCCAACGTCTCAGATTTCTGAAAGAAAGCAGCCGTCAGCTGAGCTCACGCCAACAGACGTCTCTCCATCCTCGCAATCCGCCTTATCGGAACACGTGCGCGACGGTTACTGCTGATTAGCTAAATACCGGCTAGCGCATCCGTACATTACTTTTCGTTGCTGGCAGCACCCTACGCTTTCCTCGTCCCGTTCCGACGCGCTTCGGTAATAACCATGGCTACTCTTATCTCGGCGGAGAGCGTCGCCACCATGGCTGCCGCCAACTCCGCAGCGAGCCGCAGCCTCGCGAAGCCCTCTACGTGCTTGCGGCTACCATTTTGCGCTGCTCAAACCGGCCGAACGCCTAGCAGGCCTATGCGGATTCGCGCCCGGAGCTCCCTTCAAGGTGCGTTGAAAGCTTTCTATTTTCAGGTTTTTGTCATGAGCCTTTTCGGTTCTTAGATTCCTTCAGAAAAATGCGGAGCAGGCAGGGCCGTCACGGATCACCCTGGGATCCCTCTTCAACGTGCGTTGGAAAGCCTTCTAGAGTCCTTTCAGGATAGAATTCTAGTTTGCAGTTTGCTTCATACTGCATGAAAGCGTTCTTACAGCTGAATGAAGTGGTGGTTTATATTTCTGGTCGCTGGAGCCTTAATCTCTATGTGCAAGTAATTGCAGTTTGCAGCTTTTCCATCGAAAACATATTGTTCGGCAGCAATTCATTTGTTATCACCTCCAAACGTCAAATCATTATAGAATTTGGAGCATTTTAAGAGTCGAAAGCACCGGCGACCAGGCTAAGTGTCCGCCTTCCCACGAATCCACCGCTTGATAGATTACAAGCGTCATCTCTCAGTTCTTTTCTCCGTCAGCTCAAAGTCTTTGGAGCAGTCCAAGAATCTAAGGCACCTTTAACCAGAATCTCCATTCCGCCGACTTGCTGTCCTTTCTCTGGTGACTTTCTTGCTTTGCTGACCTTTCAGTTGACTCAAGAGGCACTCCTCTCGAATTTACCTCGCTCAAGTATTCTCATTCTACTGTCTTGTTTTCTGTCCCTGACTTGGTGCAGACAAGAGAGAAACAGGAGCAGCGGCCAGCAGCAGCAGCAGCAGCAGTAGCAACACTACCAGCAGCAGCAGCATCAACAGTCAAACGGCTTCCTCACCGCCTGCCTCCTCCGCGGCTTCTCCTGCGGACGAAGCGGAGGAAGTTACCCGGAAATGGGGTCTCGAAGCCGGCTTATGGAAGGTGAGAGGTGGACAGATTGGTGAAAACAGGTGGGAGGGATAAACTGCGACAGGTGGGAGGATTGGTGTGCCAAGATTCTCAAACATAGGGAAAATGGTATTGGTGCAGGTGAGAGAGTGTAGAAATGGGTGAAAGGATGAGAGTAGTGAATACAAGAATAGAGTAAGAAGTGGACTGAAACATGAGAAGCAATATGCATAGTAGCCTCTAGTCCCCCAGTAAGAGCAACGCGGAGATGCTGAAGGACCTGCTGACTCGCTACGGGGGACCGTACCTTGGGACCTCCATCGCCCTCAATCATCCCCTCCCAACCCCGCCTCCCTCCCCCCCACTCCCCCCTCTCTCACCACCCTCTCTCCCTCTCTCAAGGCTGGGAGCAACGCGGAGGTGGCAAAGGACCTGCTGACCCGATACGGAGGAGAGTACCTTGGGACCTCCGTCGCCCCACCCTAACATCCCCCCCTCTTCCTCTCTTTCCTCATAAGGCTGAGAGCAACGCGGAGGTGGCAAAGGACCTGCTGACCCGATACGGAGGAGAGTACCTTGGGACCTCCGTCGCCCCACCCTAACATCCCCCCCTCTTCCTCTCTTTCCTCATAAGGCTGAGAGCAACGCGGAGGTGGCGAAGGACCTGCTGACCCGATACGGAGGAGAGTACCTTGGGACCTCCGTCGCCCCACCCTAACATCCCCCCCTCTTCCTCTCTTTCCTCATAAGGCTGGGAGCAACGCGGAGGTGGCAAAGGACCTGCTGACCCGATACGGAGGAGAGTACCTTGGGACCTCCATCGCCCCACCCTAACATCCCCCCCTCTTCCTCTCTTTCCTCATAAGGCTGAGACCAACGCGGAAGTGGCGAAGGACCTGCTGACTCGATACAGAGGGGCGTACCTCAGGACCTCCATCGCCTCATTCACCCCCAACCCTTTCCCTCTCACTCCCTTCCCCCCCCCCCCCCCCCCCCCCCCCCCCCTTCCCTTCACTCTCAAGGCTGGGAGCAACGCGGAAGTGGCAAAGGACTTGCTAACTCGCTATGGCGGGGCGTACCTTGGGACCTCCATCGCCCTCTCCCTCGTCTCCTTCTCCCTCTGCTACCTGCTCGTTGACCAAGGCGTGGATGTGGCTGGGCTACTCGACTCGGTAAGAGCTGACTCAGTAACAGCTGACTCGTTAAGAATTGCTATATCAGTTTTATGGTACATGCAGCCCTTGGGACGTTGCTGGGCTCCTTGACTCGGTAAGAGAAGATCCGTTAAGAACTGGTATTTGATAGGACCACTATTTGGGACCGCCCTCTCCCTCGTCTCCTTCTCCCTCTGTCTTGACCATGGTGTGAATGTGCCCGGGCTTCTGTATTGGCAGAGCCTGTGTGCCCATATCCTGTGGCCTATGCGGCCCAAAAGAAAAGCCACATGAAAGAAGTGAAGTGGTGAGACGCCTCAGACCTTTCACTTCTTGCACGAGGTAGAGCCTGTGTGACCATGGCACACAGGCCCATGTGAAGTGGTGAGACGCCTCAGACCTTTCACTTCTTGCACGAGGTAGAACCTGTGTGACCATGGCACACAGGCCCATGTGAAGTGGTGAGACGCCTCAGACCTTTCACTTCTTGCACGAGGTTGAACCTCACCTCTATGCGCATTGCCTGTGGCCTATGCGGCCCAAAAGGCCCTGTCTCGTGTCTGCATCCCTCTTGCCCAGGTATCCACCCTCTCCTTCACTCGCGGCATCTTCTACGTAATCCCACCCCACCTCAGGTCCGCTTGCATGTGGACAGCACCGGGGAGGCAGTGGGTACCTTCGCCATTGCCTATGCAGCGCACAAGGCCCTGTCTCCTGTGCGCTTCCCTCCTGAACCCGAATTCCCTTATTTCTCATTGCTCTCCCCCTTTATCCATCAGTTTGGTTTGCACGTGGACAGCACAGGAGAGGCAGTGGGCACTTTCGCCATTGCCTGTGCGGCCCATAAGACCCTCACTCCCGTCCGCTTCCCTACCCTCCTGTTTCCTCTCCCCCCACTTCCCCCTCCCCCAATCAGTTCGGTTTGCATGTGGACAGCACAGGAGAGGCAGTGGGCACTTTTGCCATTGCCTATGCAGCGCATAAGGCCCTCTCCCCTGTCCGCTTCCCTCCCACTGTCGCCCTCACTCCCGTGGTGGCTGGGTGGTTGGGGAAGAACAAGGAGAAGGAGGAGGAGGGGAGCAAGGGGGAGTAAGGCGGTGGGTTGTATGCTATACAGGGGTGTTAGGGAGGGGAGAGGGAAGCAGGGAGGGGGGAGGGGAGCAGGAGGGGAGAGGGAAGCAGGGAGGGGGGAGGGGAGCAGGAGGGGCGAGGGGAGCAGGGAGGGGGGAGGGGAGCAGGGAAGGGGAAGGGGAGCAGGGAGGGTTTAGGGAGGACCGTCAACGTTGCCCATGCAGCTCACAAGGCCCTCTCTGCTGTGCGATTCCCTCCCACCGTCGCCCTCGTTCCTGTGGTGGCTGGCTGGCTAGGGAAGAACAAGGAGGGGGGGGTGTGAGGGGAGAAGGAAGAAAGAGCCCTTTTTTGGAGATGATTTTTGAGGCAGCTTTATGGTAGGCTGTTAGGTTCTCGAGAGTGCTTGACACGTCCTTGCCTCCTCTTGCGCTTATACCGTATTATGGCTTCGGGTGTGTTCTGTGTGCTGTTTGAAACAAGCCTACTACCATGTTACTACTACATAGTGATGTGTTCCTGAATAAACAAAACAAGAAGCTATTGGGCTTTTGTCTAAGAAGCTTCACTTCAGATTCAGAAATAGGGTGTTCGGGTTGGGACCAGGCCCTCAGATTCACTTTTAGGGACGTTGATGCATCAGGGTCCCTGTGAAAAATGTTGGAAACAATCGGTCCTAAGCGCCTCTGTCGTGTCGAAACACTAAGGCACAAGCGAAGCGAAGCATACCGAAGCACCGGCGAGTCAACCCTCGGAGGTTGAAGTAACCGCTGGAGGTTACTCGAAAGTCAAAGGTCAGCGACCTTTGACCTGACAAGTACAGCGCGACAGCAAGGACACACAACTGACTCGACATTGAGCAGTTGCCCGAGTCGCACTGTATCGAACTGCAACAGCAAAACAGTTTAATTATATCTCTTCGTATTTTTTGTACTCTTATATAAACCTTTGTACTTGCTTGTTTTAATCAACTTACTTTGCCCTCACATACTAGCGCAAGGTGGTTCAGAATCTCTTTGTTAACGCTTCCGCTACTACATCACTCGACCCGGAGATTAACCCTACCAGAATCCTAAGGGGCACTCAGCCCAACAAAAAAAATCCTGAATTTTCAGGGTTCCTAAAAAAAAAGCCTGAATTTTCAGGGTTCCGGAAAACAAAAACCTGAATTTTCAAACACATCATGCAATTGTGCAAGAAAGTAGACTTCACGAACATGGTAGGAGAGGGATTCGAACCAAAATTTTACCAATCGGTATCTAGTTCGCTAACCACCAAGCCAGTTCATCGAGACAACGGTCAGTATTTTCTTTACACAACATAATGTATTAGGGCTGTTCCTACGGCCCCTTATCAGGCCAACCTCTTATCAAGCTCGCGTCAAAACACACTGAAAATTTCATAAACCTAAAAACCCTCGCTACTTTTACCAGGCAAGGCTGACAAGAGGTTTGCCTGATAAGAGCGTAGGAACACGCCCTTATTATGTGGAAATGTTGGTTGACTTACGGTATTGTCTCGGGTGTTTTACGGGAAGGATTCGGAATGTGCATTCAGTGTACACTTCGATAAAAGTCTGAAACATCAGTGCTAGCTATGAAGTAAAGGCTGAAAAAATCAGTGTCACAAAAATCTCAACACTGAAAATTCAGTGTAGGTACACAAAACTAGGCTGAAAATCAGGAATTTCAGGGAAAAATTCCTGATATCGTAGGGCCTGGTCGGGACAACAGTATTCAATCTGCCGTGGACAATAGAATGCGCTATGTACCGCCACTACACTGTTTGTGTGAACCTATCCTCTAGCCTTCTCAGCCTTCTAATCAAAGTTGGCAGTGAGGCATCAGGGGGGAGTGTTCTTTCAACACAAGTAGCACCATAACATCTACAGTAATGTCCTCTTTATTGAGCACCTATTTTTCAGCACAGCCTCAAGCTTCTCAGCCTTCTGGTACTCCATGGCAGTGAGAGGCCAAGGGGGGAATGTGTTATCTTCATCATGCCGTAGTGTTTTATTCCATAAAAATGCTAACACAAACATCTACAGGAACATCCTTTATATATACCGCCCCTTTTTCAGCACGGCCTCGATCTTCCCAGCTTTCTGGTACTCCATGGCAGTGAGAGGGCCCAGTGGGAATGTGTTATCTTTCTTGTACCGTAGTATTATCTTTTGTCAAATGTTAACAAAACATCTACAGGGACATCCTCTATATAGACCGCCCCTTTTTCAGCACAGCCTCGAGCTTCTCAGCCTTCTGGTACTCCATAGCAGTGAGAGGGCCCGGGGGGAAGACAGTGACCTCGACCACGATGTGTGGTGTGGGCAGCTCGTCAAACATGGCCCTCACATTGTTGCAGCAGACGGTTTCACTGTGTGCCGACTCCCTGCGGATTTGGCAGCCCTGTTAGGGGCAGGGTGGGGTTCAGGAGGCATATGGGAAGGAGAGGGAGGAAGGGCCCGGGTGGAAGACAGTGACCTCGACCACGATGTGTGGCGTGGGCAGCTCCTCAAACATGGCCCTCACGTTGTTGCAGCACACTGTCTCACTGTGGGCTGGCTCCTTCGCAGCCGCCTCCCTTTTGCTCAACTCATATTGAATCTAGGTTAACACTCTGCACATCACTGCCTCCCACGCGTCCCCCACACATGCCACACGCTCACCTTGTGCAAGGTGGCATCGGTGAAAAAGTCGTCTTCAGACAGCAGAGGCATGAGGGACCAAAGAGTGCGCCTCCCCTCACTGACATTGGGCACACGGCACCGCCCCACCAGCGTGCCCCTCATGCTCTCATGCTCTCCTGTGTGCCAGTAACTTACCTGTGTGACGTGTGTCAGTCCCTCACCTTGTGCGAGGTGGCATCAGTGAAAAGGTCGTCTTCAGACAGCAGGGCCATCAAGGAGCGAAGGGTTCTCCTGCCCTCGCTGACGTTGGGAACACGGCACCGCCTCACGAGGGTGCCCTTGGTGCACTCACCTCTCACCTCTCACCTCTCTCCTGTGCTGGTCGCTCACCTTGTGCGAGGTGGCATCAGTGAAAAGGTCGTCTTCAGACAGCAGGGCCATCAACGACCGAAGGGTTCTCCTGCCCTCGCTGACGTTGGGCACACGGCACCGCCTCACAAGAGTGCCTTTGGTGCTCTCGTGCCATCTGCTGCCCGCTGCTTTCTTGGCCTCCTTTGCTGCTTTCTCGGCTGATGAAGAGAGAGGAAGGGGGGATAGGGGGCAGTAGAAGGGACTCGAATCGAATCAGCACCGCCTCACCACCGTGCCCTTGAGGTCGTTTTTGAGGCGCCTCAAAAACCGCCTCACCTCCGTGCCCTTGGTGCTCTCGTGCCATCTGCTGCCCGCAGCCTTCTCGGCTTCCTTGGCCGCCTTTTCAGCTGGTGGATGGATGGGAGAACAGAGAGTGGAAGGGGGGGCGGGGCGGTGGGACAGAGCACCAGCGTGCCTTTGGTGCTCTGCTCTCATGCCATCTGCCACCTTCTTCGCCTCCTTGGCTGCTTTCTCAGCTAACGGAGGGGAGGAGAGAGAGCAGAGAGAAGGGTGGGGAGACAGGGCATGAGAGCAGTTATGGTTCCACCTACAGCCATCCAAACCTCAGCAGTATTCCCTAACAGAGCCCTGTTGACCCAGTCAAAAAGATCAATGCAGTCGAATTGACAGCCACGCCAGCGTTCCCAAAGAGTGCCTTGTTGACCTGGTCAAAGAGGTCAACGCAGTCAAGATGACCACCATACTTCAACTTACAGCTTACACCCGTACAGAACTCACCAGCGTTCCCAAAGAACACCCTGTTGACCCGGTCAACAAGGTCAACGTCCAGCAGTGGGGACACTTTTAGAGGTCCAAGTTGACTTTTGAGTTGACTCAAGGAGGTCATAGCAGTCATCAATTACAGCTACGCAACAACTTCCGGTCCACAACTCAACACCGTTTCCAAATAGCGCCTTGTTGACCCGGTCAAATAGGTCAACGCAGTCAAGCTGACCACCATGCAACAACCTAGAAAAGGCCAGAACTCACCAGCGTTCCCACACAGTACCTTGTACACCCGGTCAACGAGGTCAATCAACGCAGTCAAGCTGACCAGCATACCTCATGTCAAACTCACCAGCGTTCCCAAAGAGCGCCTTGTTGACCCGATCAACGAGGTTGATCCCTCCCGTGCTCTCAGCCCCGCCAGCTGGCAGAGAAACAGCGGGGTTTGGGGTGGTGGGTGGGGACAGGGAAGGACGAATGGATTGGAGAGGCGAGTGGAATCAGTCTAACCCTTTGACCCGGTTAACAAGGCTGATGCTGCCAGTGGTCTCAGGCATCCCTGCTGGAAGACATACAATGGGTGGGATGGGTGGGAGAGGGACCCTCTGACAGGGTGGCAAACAGCGAAGAGTAGAAGTCAGTTTGACCCTTTGACCCAGTCAACGAGGTCAATGTAGTCTGTGCTCCCAGACAGCCCCGCCAGCTGGCAGACGAACAGCTGGGGTGGGTGGGACAGGGAAGGGGGAATGGAGAGGGTTGGAAAGACAACAGTTGGGTTTGTGGGTTGGGGTGGGAGTATGGGAGGAACAGATTCGGTATGGCATGATGGATAGGGAAGATTTGGTCAACTCAAGATTCGGTATGGGACGATGGACACGGGTTCGTTAAGGGGAAACAGGGAGTTGTAACAGCTGCGTAAGCACCAGCCGTCCCCAGCTAAAGAGATAACGGGAACATCGCTGCAATTCGCGAATCTTGAGTCGACCAAGCAACGAATCTTGACTAAATTTATCCTGAATCCTATCTTAGATTAGATCCTTACTTAACCCGTTCTCACTTGACGCTTCTCTAAGAACGTCCTGATCTGATCTGATCTGATCTGATCTGATCTTCTCTCGTGCACCTGATCTCACGCGTCTGAATGCCTCCTTGTCAATTTCACTCATGGTGAGGAAGGGCAACAGTACCTATTCTTGCTAAAGCATTTCCTAGCACTGCTGCCCTCGCTAACCATGAGTGGAGATCTCACACGTCTAGATGCCCCCTTGTCGATTGCTCTCCTCACCTTTCTCCGCTCCAGCCACTCCCAGCTTCACTTCACCCAGCAGGTAAAACGCCGATGTTCGTGCATAATGACTGTGTTGACCCTGTTGACCTCGTTGACCTCGTTGACCTCATTGACCCTCGCTGACCTTCGTTGACCCCACAGCTACCCTAAACTGTCCGCCTGCCCCTTGTCCTTCTCCTCTCCTCACCTTTCTCGGCCCCAGCCACTCCCAGTTTCACCAGCAGGTAAAACGCCGCCATTCGCGCCGCCCATTGCGCCACTGACGCCGCCGAGACCTGCAGCCCCGCGATGACGGCGCACGGAACCACCGCGCCTTTGCGCGAGGGCGCGGAGGGGGAGGCGCGGCGGGCGGCGGACGGAAGAGGCGGGAGTGCGCGGATGGGGGTGAGCGCGAAAGCGGAGGACGAGCGGAGGGCTGCGAGCAGGCAGCGGCGGAGAGATGGGGGGAACGGTCGCGCGGAAAGGTTGAGGAGGGAGAAGGGGAGGGGAGCGGGGAGGAGGGGATGGAGAAAGGGAAGGGGGGTAGGAGGAAAGAGGGGAGGGGGGGAGGAGGAGAGGGGGGGAGGGGGGGGGGTGGGGGGTGGAGGGGAGGGGGGGGAATGCAGGTGATGCGGAGAGGGGTTAGGAGCGCGAGAGAAGAGAGGGATTAAACGGAACGCGGAAAATGCGTAAGAAAAAATGTTTCAATGATAGGGACTCGTCGAGCCGAAATAATGCGCACTAAAACGCGACCAGAAAGAGCAGCTAGAGGTCTGAGTACGCGGGAGGTTAGGAGAACGCTGATGCGAGGGGTTAACAAGAAAAAAATGTAGTTTGGCACGGGAGAAAAAAAACAAATAACTAACTAACTGATTAAATAATCAACTAGCTAAGAAACGGAAGAGGGGTGGAAGTACAGCAACCCACAAGCGCCGGAAAGCGCGCTGGCGGGCCGGTAGCCACTGATGCTGCCGACTGCTGCTGACGTGGCAAGCGCTGCAGCCGCCATTGCGAGGTACTCTAAGAGGACGAGAAGCAAGAGGTGGAGACGGATTAAGACAGTACGTTGGAAAGCGAAGGCGGACCAGGGCGGATTGGCGGCGCGAGGGAGGAAATTAGGCCCAAGTTTGGCAGGGAATAGGATCTAGCGAGTTGTGGAAAAAAATCTGGATGTCCTGAAATCTCCCTGGCCTGGAAACCTGAAATCCAGCTTGGAGATTCCCAATGACCCAAATCCTGTAACGAGGATCTTTTATCCGATTCTGGTCAGAAGAGTGTGCTTATAAGCAGACGCATAAAATGATCAAATATCCTCCGACTTCTGGCAGCTCTTAAAAGTAATGTTGTGATAACTGAATAATCTTAGGATCGATATACAATTATCATTCATACATTGCAATTTATCAATAACCTTGTCATCAGGGAGTTAAGCAGTGTACATCTTAAGCATGCAAAACGATCACATGAACAACCCGTTAAGGTACACTTTACCAGGTGAATCACTAGTTACTCTGACTGACAGATGCACCGGTCAGCATTCTTTGGAATTCAAAGTCGACTCAAATTGCCCAGTCTGCTGACCCATTTCTACGGGCGTTTTGAGACCTTCATCTCTGCTCCCCACGTCCTTCCAACATTTTACGTGTCGCTGGCAACGCTTTCTGTACACACGGACACCAAAGCTTCGAATCGAAACATTGCTTTTGCACGATTGGGTGCCCTGCCTTGTTACCCAGAGCCCCTCAGAAATTCAGGTTTGAGAAGTGAAGAGCTCGAAGTACAGTTCGGTACAAGTTTGCCTCAGCCAAGTTAATGGCATACGATTTTTCCAATGCGTGGGCAATGTTGACTTCTTCAAACTCGACCGAGTTCTTGGCACAATGTGCCCAAACAAAGAAGACCCTCCCAACCTTCATGCTTGTATATTTCCCCCCTTCAGGACTGAATGACTGTCGAAGGGGGCACCAGACAGAACATTCTGAACAGCTGTATGCGCCGACACTGAACTGTGTAACCAACACCATTTTGTTCTGACATAGGGAGTTTCTACTGCATTTCCGGTTGTGTAGCGTCACCTTCGCGAAACTGCGAAGTGCGATCAACTGATACTCTCGTGATAATCGCTTTTGTAAGGCGGATCACCCGAGGAGACAAATATCGGGTTACAAACGTAGACGACAGTAGAGACGAAATCTGGCGATTAATGTTGCCCCATGTCAGAGTCATGCTGCACTGGTCAGCGTCGACCATTTCTCGGGCACTGTGTAAGTCCCCGAGTCGCCAAGGCATTCCGCGTATGCTTTTCACCTTTTCCCCCTTCTCCCTCTCACACCCCCCCACCCCACCCCCCTTGGTTTTGTCTGATCCGGTTATCAAACCCACCGACCACGTCCGCAAGATCCGCAATGGTTTTCCTCAGTTGTGAACGCCCTTCACTTCCAGCCCCATTTCTCGCAACATTGAGCCCACATTTTCCTTTCAAATTTTCCTAATCACTTTCAAATTGTCTTTCTGCCTCAGTTACGACTGAGAATGTAAGCACTTTTATAGGGTAATATCATTCACACAAAAAATATCTTTCTGCCTTTTCACACACGGAAATTGCAACCCGGGCACGACAGAATATACAGTGACAAGATGGGGCATCTGCTCCTGCCCAAGAGAAGGTATTTCCCCACACACATGTTTCCCCCGCCATGACCCCTTCCGCAAGTTCCGCAATCAGGCCACAACTGCTTGTTTTCTTTCACAAGTTCGCAACACCCCCCACCCTCCCCTCCCCCAGCTCTCCCCCGCCCCCTCGATCACCCACACACAGCCCCCGCTCTCCTCTCCTCTCCTCTCCTCCCCTCCCCTCGCATCCCCTAACGTCATCCGCTGTAGTGCGGCGGCGAGAATCTGCGAAATCAATCTCCCAAATCTGTTGCCATGTAGCGAAGCACTGCTTTGGCAGGCTGGCAATGGCAAGCTGCCACACAGCCTCAGGTAGAGAAAACCACGAAGCTCCGCAACCGCGGCCGCGCAGAATGGGGAGAGATCAGTCAGAAGAGGAAAGTGTAGGTGACAGCAAAGCGAAGCGAGCGAGGGAGGCCCAAGTCCAGTCGTTTCCCATCCCAGTCGCATCCTGATGGCACAGATTCTAGAACGCGAGGTTCGCGCGTCCGCGAGCCGCGCGACTGGCGGAGACTGTGCTGCCGAGCGGAGTTATCCGCGCAATGGGCGCGCGGAACGCGCCCTCCTCTCAGTCCCCGGGCCGCGGCCCCACGCTAATTCAGCCTGCCAATTCTTTTGGCCGTTGTGACGTTGACTATCAGTCTTCGAGCCCCATGCGAGTATTTAAATAAATGTCGCCGACATGTGATCTCCATCACGATCATCCTTCCTTTCCCCGCGCAAGTGACTCCGAGTCGAGGTTTCAATCACGAGACAACTCTAAGAAGCACAAGTCGTATGGGCAGTTCATCTCTTTCAGCGACAAGCATCGTTCAGTGCATCCGAGAACAACCGCGCGCGCGTGGTTATTTCGTTGACGATTTATTGCCTTTTTATCAGTGGCGATTATTTGATCCTGAGCTAAGGACAAGCTATCACCGCGAGTTACCGTTTGTTTCCGGTGTATCATATACTTTTACTGGTAGAGAACTTCCGCGACGGAAACGCCTCCTCGCGTTTTGAATGGATTCTTCTTCGACTTCGCGGCAGACTCCGATGAGCATCCTCCACGCGCTCGCCACGTCAGCCGCGCCGCTGATCGAGGATCCCCGCGCGCCGCTCGCGGAGCGCCTCCGCGCTCTCATCATCAAAGCGGAGGCTACGGCGGGAGCCGCCAACCTTGCGCCGCAACCGCCACTGCAAACGGCGCGGACGGCCAAGGCGCCCAACCACGGAAGACACTTCCCAAAATCCACGTCAGAACCCGGCGTTTCGGCGGGCGCGATCTCCGGAACGACTTCCAGCGATTGGGGCTCCCATGTTCACAATGTCGAGTGTGATACTTCGGGGCGGCTTACAGCGGGGATAGGGGGGCTCTTCAAGTCGTTCCCCTCGTTTCCCGGAGCCACTCTTAACGCGTCGCCTTCCGCGGCCGCCATTTCCCACCAAGACGTGCTGATTAACGGCAGCGGAAGCAGCTGCGGTATCCCACGCTCCCCGCGTTCCCCGCGCTCATCCGCGTCGCCGCGCTCCCCGCATTCCCCGCGCTCGCCAGCCCGACAACGCTGCAGCTTCGCGTCGCGTCTCGCCGCGCGCGGCCCGTCCGCGTCGCAGAAGGTTCCGCCGCCATCCGTGGCGCACTTGATCCCGGAGCGCGTCCAATCGGCACAACCCGTCCCCGATTCGGGAACGCTCCTGGTACGACCACCCACTTACCCGCAGCAACAGCAGCCTCAGCAGCAGCAGCAGCAGCAAAGTCTTGACCAATCATATCCAAGAGCACTTGATGCAGCAAAAAGTGGCTACGCGTTTCAAGGAGCTCCCACACGTGTCTCGTCCCCATTCGCCCTAATCGACGCGGGAATCAGCCCAGCCGCGCTCCTCGAGTCGCCTATCATGGCAGGCCGCCCCGGCCCAACCCTAGGCTCGGCAGCAGGCTCGGCAGGCTGCACAGCCTTGGCACAAGCCGGACCTGCTGTCGCTACAGCGTGTTTGAACCCACCACCTCCGCCACTCCCCCTCCCCCCCCCAGTTCTCCCCCTCTCCGCCTCACTTCCTCCCCCAAACATGGTCCCCTCTCCGCCTGCTGCCCCGCTGACAAAAGCCTTTCCACAGAAACCACCACCCGTGACAGTGCCAGGTTCGGACGCCGCCAAGCCTACTGGCTCGGGAATGTCCGAGCCTGCACTGGAGGGTGAGGAAGAGACCCCAACATCTGGTGTGGAGAACCCAGGGAAGCTTGAATTCGCTGACTTTGTTGACTTTGGAGGGAAGGGCGACGCAGGAGATGATCTCAACGACCTGTTTGACTTTTTTGACTCGCTTGTGGGCGGCGGCGCAAGTGGCAGAGGCAGTGGGAGTGGGAGTGACAGTGGGAGTGGGAGTGAACAGCAGAGAGAAAGTAAGAAGCTTCTTGGAAGGAACAACAGCAGCAGCAACGACCGAAGCAGCAAGCACATGGAAGTTTCAGAAGGACCTGAGCCCTTTGGGAGCAAATCTCGGGCAGGCCGGAAATTTCGGAGCATGGAGGGACTGGAGGCGGGCAGCAACACGGAATATATTTTGGTGCCTGCCGAAGATGGGTACAACTGGCGAAAGTATGGGCAGAAAATGGTGAAAGGCTGCCTGCACCCTCGACTCTATTTCCGCTGCACATTTCCGGGCTGCCCGGTGAGAAAAACGGAGGAACGGGCAGATGATGGAGAGGTGCTGGAAAGAATCTACAGGGGGTTGCACAATCACCCGCCTCCTGGGCTCCCCGCAAAAGAGATTCAGGAGGAGGAATGGGAAACCAGGCGTGAGCAGCAGCAGCAGCAGCAGCAGCAGCAGCAGCAGCAGCAGCAGCAGCAGCAGCAGCAGCAGCAGCAGCAGCAGCAGGAGTTGGATGCTTCCCCTCCTGCTGCTCCTGCTGCTGATGCTAATTCTCCAAAACTTTCCCTACTTTCGTCCTCCTCATTTCCGCTACTTCAAGCCGAGTCCACATCAATAAGGCAGGGTATTCCCATAAGTAACCCTATTGGTAACCAGACTGATAACCCTACTGGTAACCAGACTTGTAACACTGCTACAGACCGCCATGGGTCACAGGAGAGGCTCTGGGGAAAGAGGCTGTTCCTTCATCACAGCCGTTTATCCGCCCCTGCCAACCTGCAAATCCCAGCCGTTGATCTTACCAGCCCTGAACCTGGTTCTGAGGGGCCCACAGGGAGCAGTGGGGGATCCAGTGTGAGTGGGGAGAGGAAGAGGAAGGCACTACCTGGCGTATGCCTATCTGCTGGGGACCTGTCAGCTGAAGCTATGGAGGAGGATGTTACCAGTGCAGCAGCTTATAACGCAGCAGTAATTTTAAATAAAGGAGCTGCTTATAGCGGAGCAGCTACTAGCGAAGCAGCTCATAACGAAACTGCTGGAGCCGTGGATAAGAAGCCGAGGCGGGGCGCCGAAACTGTACTGGTTTGCGCACAGCAAGTGATTGAAGAGCCGAAACTGGTCGTCGAGTTACGCAGTAACATGGAGCTTCTAGACGACGGTTACCGCTGGCGCAAGTACGGACAGAAGGTGGTACGCGGTAACCCTAATCCGCGGAGTTACTACAAGTGCACGCACGCGGGGTGCACTGTGCGTAAGCATGTGGAGCGTGCGGTTACAGATCCATGTGTTGTGGTAACCAGCTATGAGGGCCGGCACTGCCACGCCATGCCAGGGCCTGTGTTCTCCCCTCCTCCTGCCGAGAGGAATTCTCCTGTTGCTGCTGGTGGTGACAGCGGCACTCTCAGCACTGCTGCTGGGAGCAGAAATGATAACCCTGGGATGTGTTCTTTCCGGTTGCCTGGCGAGGCTGTGGCAGTGAATGGGGTGGGGTACTGGGTGCTGCACTGAAGCTTGGGGGTTACCTGGTTACCAGTCACCCTGCTGCTGGGAAGGGAAATGGTGACCCTGGGATGTGTTCTTTCCGGTTGCCTGGAGAGGCTGTGGCAGTGAATGGGGTGGGGCATTGGGTGCTGCACTGAAGCATACTGATGAGCACTCGCGCTGTGCCGTGCCGCCTGATGCCTGATCCCTTCACCCCATCCCTTCACCCCATCCCTTCACCCCATCCCTTCACCCCATCCCCTCCATCCTTTTCCACATCCTCCTCACCCTGTCCCTCCTCCGTCACCTCTCTCCTCACCTCTACTTTTATATTTTTTAAGCTACCATCACAGCATTGCGGATCGCTTCAAAGGCACCATGTCATGCCTACTACCCCCGACTCAATGCCGGCGCACTTGCACTCACTCACTCCCTCCTCCTCACGCTCCCCTCCTCCACTCTTGCCCCCGCTCCCTTAACATCAACGCCACTTGTCACATCCTTGCGGATAGCTTCAAAGGCACCCTGCCATGCCCATTACCCCCGACTAAATGAGAATGCTTGGAAGAATGCGTCTGGGGTAGTTGATGTGGGAGAATGCCTTTGAGGGATCCGCGATTTGATGTGATTCTCTTTAAGGTAGTTTGGTTCTTTGCTTACTTGTGTAATATATGTTATATAGTTTGTTATGAACTTCTATGTTTTACAACAATACACATCATTCCATGAACATACTGCTGAACCACCCACCTAACAAAAGCAGAGACATGCAATACTGTTCAAGCATTTGCAATACAGTCCCCTCAAGGTTGGGAGTACGTATGGGTGGGGCAAAGGGTGGAAGTGAGGAATTTAGGGAGGAAAGGAAGGTTGCTGGGGACGAGGGCGGATGGAAGGCTAGGGTGCAACGACAGGAGGAGGTGTGGGCGGGACGGGGGCAGGTCTGGGAGCAGATGTGGCAGGAGGTTTGGGAGTAATCCGAGCGGGTCTGGGAGCAATGACAGCAGGAGGTTTGGGTGGGATCGGAGCAGGTTCGGGGGCAGCTGTGGCACGAGGTCTGGGAGGAATTGGAGTGGCTGCGGCTGTGGTAGGAACTTCAGGAGGTATGGGACCAGGTTTGGCAGCAATGGCAACAGGAGGTCTGGGTGGGACTGAAGCAGGTATGGGAGCAGCTGCGGCAGGAGGTCTGGGAGGGATGGGAGCAGGTTTGGGAGCAGTGGCAGCAGGAGGCTTGGGTGGGACCGGAGCAGGTCTGGGAGCAACAGCAGCAGGAGGTCTGGGTGGGAGTGAAGCAGGTCTGGAAGCAGCTGCGGCAGGAGGCTTGGGAGGAATTGCTACAGAGGGGCTGGGGGGGAGGGCAGGGGAGGGTTTGGGGGGAATTGAGACAGAGGGGCTTGGGGGGAGGGCAGGAGAGGGTCTGGGGGGAAGGGAATGAGAGGGCAGGGGAGGAAAGGAGCGTGGTGAGAGAGGCGGAAGAGCAGCAGGCAGAGGCGGAGTGGGGACAGGGAGGGGAGGGAGAGCGGAAGGGCGAGGGGGAACGGCGGACGGGCGAGGAGGAACGGCGGACGGCCGAGGGGGGAGGGCAATTGGTAGCGGGGGGAGGGCGGAGGGTAGTGGGGGGCGGGCAAAAGACCGAGGAGCTATTGGGGGAAGGGCGGAAGGGAGAGGAGGGAGGACGGAAGGGAGAGTAGGGCCGGAAGGGAAAGGAGGGGCGGAAGGGAGTGGAGGGAGGGTGGAAGGGAGAGGAGGGGCGGAAGGGAGAGGAGGGGCGGAAGGGAGTGGAGGGAGGGTGGAAGGGAGAGGAGGGGCGGAAGGGAGAGGAGGGGCGTAAGGGAGAGGAGGGGCGGAAGGGAGAGGAGGGAGGGTGGAAGGGAGAGGAGGGGCGGAATGGAAAGGAGGGATGGCGGAAGGGAGAGGAGGGGCGGAAGGGAGAGGCGGGGCGGAAGGGAGAGGAGGGGCGGACGGGAGAGGAGGGGCGGAAGGGAGAGGAGGGAGGACAGAAGCGAGAGGAGGGAGGGCAGAAGGGAGAGGAGGCAGGGCGGACGGGAGAGGAGGCAGGGCGGAAGGAAGCGGAGGGAGGGCGGATGGAAGAGTAGGTAGCGACGGGAACGGGGGAAAGGGAATGCAAGGTGGGGAGGGAGGAGCCGGGGCGAAGAATCGAGCAGCAAACGGGGGGAGCGGGGGAAGGGGTGGCGCACAGGGCAGTACTATGGCTGGAGGTGGCGGTATGGCGAGGGATGGCGCGATGGCGGAAGCAAAGGTCTCCCCAAGTGCCCCTAATTCCGCCTCCACTGCCGTAGCTGTTGCATTTGCAGCACTTGCTGCTGCGCCTGCTGCAGTTGCTGCTCCCCTTGCTGCTGCGCTTACTGCGGGTCCAGCCGTCCTTGCTGCCCCCAGCGCCGCCCCTACAGCTTCCTCCTCTCCTTCCTTAAAGCCCTTCTTCTTTCCTTTCTTCCCTTTCTTCGCGCCCTTTCCGCCCCGTCCGCCCTTTCCGCCGGAGACCCTTGTAGCAGATGCTAATGCTGATGCTGATGCCGGCGCCGGTGCCGGTGCTGGTGATGGCGATGGTGATTCACCGCTGCTGCTGCTGCTGCTGCTGGTGGTACTTGATGATTCTGACGGAGTTCCAAAGGCCGTCTCTGACTGGACGTTGCTCTGTGTGACGTTACCAGAATCCGTTACCGTCGCCGTCTGACTATTGGTCTGAAACTGGTACACCGTCGTGCCGCCACCGCTGCCATCGCTGCTGCTGCCGCTGATCGTGCTGCCGCCACTGCTGCTACTGTCAACGCTCTTTCCACCAGCACCACCAGCACCATCAGCACGACTTGTCTTGTCCTTACTGCTCTCTTGATGCAAAGCACTGCTCGTGGTTACCAAGTCGGGAACAGTGGTAACCGGGTAACTCGCCTTTCGAGACTCGCCCTTGAGCACGGGCAGCTCGTTGAAAAAACGGAGGAATGCGGTTGGGGCAGGGCCGGAAAAGATTGGAACTGCCCCGTGGGTGGAGTAGGGGTCGTCGAGGCGGGGAATGAGCAGCGGGCGGAGGGAGCGAGCGGGTGAAAGCGGAAGAGAGGAGAGAACGAGGACGAGGAGGAATAGAATGGAGACGATGGGGGAAGGAACCAAATCGAGGCAGGGGAGGAGCGGACGGGGGCGTCGGGAGCGAGCTGAAGTGAGCGGAAGCGAGGCGCGAACTGAAGCAAACCATTGGGCGGAAGAGACGACGCGGAATTGGGCGGAAGAGACGACGCGGAATTGGGCGGAAGAGACGACGCGGAATTGGGTTCTTGCTCTGACGGGGAGGGAAGGAGTCCCGTCTGAGTCCATTCGGACCACGTGAGCCTGCTCTATCGTGATCCCCACGGTTCTTAGAGGACAATGAATCTCCTTCTACGAGTTTTTCTTAGCATTACTACGCCGATACTTCCGGAATCTCTCGATACTAATAGAGGGGGCTGGTAGAGGCCGTTATGGTGCTTTCCTTTGGAAGGGCCAATCGAGTGATTAGTCGCTCTTGAACCTCGGAGAGCTCTCGCGCTCGTAACGCGAAGCAGACACCGAAACGAGCCACGGCGGGGAAGGAGAAAGCACTGGAACGCGTTGGTTACCAGCCGGGAATCGCTGCAGTAGATATGCGCGGTCGCTTCCTGGTGTTTATGAGTTTTTCTAATCTTTGGAATTTCCCATTCACAGAAACACCAGGGAAGCGACCGTATGTAGCGGCGGAGGTAGCGAGGCGCACGAGCGGAAAATCGTGGCTGTATTTGCCTTTGAGTCGGCGCCCTCTCTTCGGCACGGTGAGTCCCACGTCGAAGATAGTTATGATAGACATTGGGGTCCTCCGGTTCTCTCGAGAATCCGAAATTGAAGAAAAGTCTACTAGTTGCAACGCTACCCAAGGCACTGGAGGCTCGCTTCCGAACGTCGCTGTGACGTTAATGCCCTCGCTATGGCGCAGCGCGTACGTAACGTCTGCGAAAAAATCTCGCCGCCGCAGCGCGCACGTAATTGTGTTACTCGTCGTGCTATGGTGTCGCCTGGCCTCTTTTGTCGGGAGCACCGCGAGTCGACTCGATCACCTCGTTACCCTCCGTTATTGGCCAACCTCCTATTTCGCAAGCACCCCGCATGCATGGTAAAAGTAGCGCTGCCGTGCACTTTTCGAGGCGGAATGACGTCTGTCGTCATAGTGATAACGCAAAAGGAACTGCAAACGACGTGTACCAGTGCGTAATATCGACAAGCAGCAGAAGTACCGCGGCGAACAGAGGAAGGGCCGAGAGAGCTGGAATTGAAAGTTCCGTTGGAAGAAAGAACAAGCCAGAAAGGAAGCAGCCATGGGATTGGGATGGGACCTGTAATGCTGTATTTTCGGCCTTTCGGTGCTTTCAAGGGTGCCATGCCAGCTTACCAAATTCGGTTGTGATGGGAAGGAAGGGAATTGAGCGAGGGAGGGAGGGGAGCAGAGGGACACATTTTGGAGGGGCGCTAATTCGGAAATTGTGAAATTGAGAAATTTGTAGGTCGCGATCCGCGAACGACGGAAACGGCCTCACGATTCGGCGATGTGCGCTGCGGAAAAAAATTATTCACGATGGCTTGAGAAGACGAGAGCTTTCACCCTGCACAACCTGTAAATTTGTCAATGCGAATTCTATACACCCTCAAACTCCAGCCGTATAACACACAATAGTTGATTGCAAATGTCATATGCTATTTTAGGGATGTCTGCTGCTCTTCATCGCTAGCAATAATGAGATTTCCGCTCCAATTAACAAGCTTCATGTGTGCATTATTGTATGGGGATCATGTTGGTGCACCAATTGTATTGACCAAACGCCTCACGACAAACCTCCTCTTCACCTCATGTGGTTCCGCAGCAACAGTTCATTCGACACCAAAAGCATTCATAGTTTATACTGTGTTTTTGCGACCTTGGTCAACGTGAGGTACTTTCATCTAGCTCACCAATCAAAACATGGGTTGGTGTAAGGAAATTCCCTTTTCCTTACTTCGCGTCCCTGCTCAACGCGTACGTCACTGTAGCACCTCAGTCAGCACCGTTACCACTCGCGACCATCGCATCATTCATTATCCCGCCCTTTTCGCACATCGCATCCCGACCTCACGGCTCGGCTGGTAACCCGCGCTCCGGGCCTACGCTTCGACACTTTCCCAACCTCAGTCCCAGGCTCGTCGCGCGACAACCACAGTCCATTACCGTTACCACTATTGTTTCGCTATATAATCCTTCGCTCATGCCTTCGCTCATTGTACTTTTTGCTTCGATAGTGCAATTCTCGTTCGTTCACTCAATTGCACTCGTAACACTTGGTAATCAGAGCCTACGATCTCATCTCGGACCGCATCCACACCTTCGCTTCCCACTATCTCAATTTTGGGGGGGGGTAGACGTCTCTCAGCGACACAGCACCGCCGCTCGTAGTGCTCTCTCGCAAGCACGCACGGCCACGACCGAGGCTCTCGCTGAGCTTGCCCGACACCCCCGCCATGGCCGACCTCAATCTCGCCACGTTGACACAGGAGCAACTCGATCGTCTCGTGCGACAACTGGAGGATTCGGCGCTTGAAATCGCGACGCTCACGGCGGAACGTGACTCCGCCCGCCAACAGTCAACGGTGAATGCTCCGACAACATCCCACGCACCAACCAATGTTTCTGTACATTCGGAGGAGCCGATTGTAATCTCATCCGGCACACCAACGCAACACAACAGCACGGGACAGCGCTCAGGCGCAGCCAGTGACGGCGCAGCCCAACCGATGCCCGGCATGGGAGGGAACAGGAGCACGCTAAGCCCACGGGAGCCCCGAGAAGCCCGTCGGCACGTGGAGTTTGCGGCGACAAGTGGTGAAAACGCCATGATGGCCCCAATGCCACTCAAGCCGCAACGCCCGCCCTGCTTCGACCCAAGCCAACGCGGCGGCCCGACAGTTCAATCGTGGGTCTTCACGATGAATGTGTTTTTCGACGCCAACTACGTCGAGTCGGACGCCGCCAAGATTCGGTATGCGGTTTCACTACTCAGGGGCCCCGCCATGGACTGGTGGCGAGTCATCGTGACGTCGCCACGCGCCTACGAGCCACCGTCGCACGAGGAAGGGCCCTCGGGTCCAGCTGTCACCTGGAGTTCGTTCTGCGAAACAGCCCAATACAGCACGTGGGATGCGTGGTGCGCAGGGCTTCGGGCGCGTTTTGAGCCGATCGCGGCTTCGATTTCGGCGCGTCAGAAACTGCGCACTTGGCGCCAGCTCGGGTCGGTTCAAGACTACACCAGCGGTTTTCTCGCACTTTGCGAACAGGTCGGCTACATGCACGAGGCGGAGCGGGTGGACCGTTACGTCGGAGGGCTGAAGCCGGACATATCGCACGAGATAATGCTACGCGGGCTATCGAATTTCAACGAAATCCTCGCGCTCGCCGAGAAAATCGATATCCTACGCCGACCGAGACCGGGGTCCTATTTCGGACATCGCCCTCGGGGACCAATCGAGCACGCCACTGTACATGCCGTCGCAACGAATGCAGCTGCCACGCCATTTAGAGGGCGCTGCTTTGCTTGCAACCGGTCGGGCCATCGCAAGAGCGAATGTCCAGAGGAGCTGAGGCGTCGAGGAGCAGAGCAGGGGAAGGAGTCTCAGAGGCAGGGAAACGCCAGCAGTCAGTAGAAGTTGGGCCAGCTACTGACGAGACTGCCTGCTCGCCCAACCACACCGACCCTCACCGAGTCACAGTACCGATTCACGCCATCGATCGGGCTCGGATGAATAAGGAGGGTACAGCGACGGATTGCCCGGTACTGATCTACGGGAAAATACAGGGAGCAGCAGTGAAAATCTTCATTGACGGAGGAGCAAGTCACAGCTTAGTTAATACTGCAACCGCACAAAAATTAGAGTTAATACTTAACCGATGTTTACCTGAGATAGATGCACGCTTAGTTGACGGCACGCCATTGGCCATACGAGAAAAAGTGGAGCGAGTAAAAGTCCGCTGCGGGGGAAACTTCGGGTTTACACAGGAAATGCTCGCAACGACGCTGGATGGGCACGACATTTTACTGGGACGTGATTGGCTGCGACGGTACAACCCACGGATCGACTGGACGACGGGAAGCTGCACAGTGCGAAGTAGCGGTAACTGGGTCATCCTACCTCGCTGGCGGCCACCCGAATCTTCAACAGTCCAGGTCAACGCCATCACGATGAAACGGGCTGTCGCTGCTGGAGCTGACGTGTACGCAGTGGATATCGCAGTGGTAGAAAAAGATGAGCAGCAGAATGATTTAAAGAAACTACTAGCAGCCGTACCGACCGAATTACAGGCACTACTGAAACGGTTCCCGGGGATATTTCCGGATGATTTACCACAGGGACTGCCACCTCAGCGAGCGCACGACCATAGGATCGAGTTAGAACCGGGGGCACAGCCAACAGTACAGCGGCAATTTCGACTGACACAGCCCGAGCTCGACGAGTTAAGGAAGCAGCTAGATTACCTGTTAGAGAAGCAGTTTATTCGACCAAGCTCGTCACCGTTCGCCGCACCCATACTGTTCACACCAAAAAAAGACGGAGGTTTTCGCATGTGCATCGACTACCGAGCGCTTAACCGGGTAACAGTCAAATCGCGATACCCCATCCCCCGCGCCGACGAACTGATTGACCAACTGCGAACAGCACGTGTCTTTTCGAAAATAGATTTACGGGGAGGTTACCATCAGATTCGGGTCGAACCATCGGACTGCGCAAAAACAGCATTTAGGACTAGGTACGGGTCATTCGAGTATACAGTAATGCCTTTCGGATTGACGAACGCGCCTGCGACTTTTCAGATGACCATGAACGAGGCGTTTAGACCACTCTTAGATAAATGCGTGATCGTTTACCTCGACGATATCCTCGTTTACAGTCGGGATAAGCAGCAACACTTAGCAGATCTTGAAGCAGTTTTTAAGGTTTTTGAGGAACATCGGCTGCTCACCAAGGGCTCCAAGTGCGAGTTTTTTAGGGATAGGCTAGAGTTTCTAGGTCACGTCATTTCAGAGGCCGGGGTTGAGATTGACCCAAAGAAGCTGGATACGGTAAAAGCGTGGCGCCCCCCGACGAACATCACGGAACTGCAGAGTTTTTTAGGGTTTGTTAATTACGTTCGACGGTTCGTGCCCGACATGGCACGTTTAACAGCCCCACTAACTGATTTACTGCGTAAGGGGGTCGCTTTTACGCGGGGGGAGAAAGAGCATGCTGCCTTCTCTGCCCTAAAAAACGTTCTCTGTTCACCACCCGTTCTACGTATCGCTGATCCCCACCGCCCTTTCGAAGTGGTTACCGACGCAAGTGACATCGCCATCGGAGCTGTACTGTTACAGGACTTCGGCAACGGCCTCCAACCCATCGCCTACGAATCACGCAAACTACATCCGCCTGAGCGAAATTACCCGATACACGACCGCGAAATGCTCGCGATCGTGCATGCATTCAAAGTTTGGCGCTGCTACTTGACCGGCGCAGACGTGACAGTACGGACAGACCACAGATCTCTACAGTACCTCCGCGCACAGCCCCACCTCAACCCACGACAGATTCGATGGCTCGATTTCCTCGAGTCGAATTTCCACTATACGGTCACATACAAAAAAGGAGCATCGAATATCGCCGACGCACTGACCCGTCCCACTGCCCAGATCCACGCGATACTACTCGCCCAGACCAGCCCACTACTGACAGGCCTATTTACCCACGGATATCAAACAGACCCGTTCTTTACAGGAGGCAACTCACAGCAATTCGCAGCGGCAAAAGGAGTCTATTACGTAAAAACTGGAACCGACCGCATCTGGGTACCGGGATACACGCTACTGCGGGAACTACTGTTACAGGAAGCACACGACGGAGTTACCTCGGGACACTTCGGGGTAGAAAAAACACGGCAGCAGCTGCAGCGGTACTACTACTGGCCAGAAATGTTGACCGATGTGCAACGACACGTGGCATCGTGTCCCACTTGCCAGCTCATGAAGTCAAGCAGGAAGCGACCAGCGGGGCAATTACAACCCATCCCGCCTCCAGAGCGTGCTTGGCAGCAGGTGACGATGGACTTCGTCACGGGGTTACCAGCTGGGACGAGTGGGAATGACGCGATCCTGGTCGTCGTCGATCGACTAACGAAAATGGCTCATTTCGCAGCATGCAGGAAATCCATCACAGCCGAAGAAACCGCCCGACTCTTCATCTCCACCGTCGTACGACTGCACGGGATACCCGCGTCGATCATCAGCGACAGGGACACGAAATTTACCAGCAACTTCTGGCGGAACCTGTGGCAGCAGTTCGGCACGCGCTTACAGTTCAGTTCATCCTATCACCCCGAAACCGACGGACAGACGGAACGGACAAATCAGACCATGGAGCAGCTGATTCGAGCCACGTGCGACGACCCGAATACGTGGGAACAGCAGCTGCCACTCATCGAGTTCGCATACAATAACGCACCATCAGCCACGACGCAAGAGTCGCCGTTTTATTTGAATTACGGACAGGACCCAACAGTACCCATGACACCGAATCCCGACAACCCCGTCCCACGAGCACAACAGTTCGCCGAGATTCTGCAAGCAGCACGGACCAGGGCAGCAGAAGTGTCAGAATATTATCTTATTGTTCTAGCCTGTAGTGGGGTGCTCTATAGCGAGTACAACCCTTCTAGGGTTTGCTATTTGTATCCTCATTCTTGCTAGTTCAATCCTCTTTCTTCCTTCTAATTTTGACATGCTATCAGAGCAGGTCGATCCCCTTGGATCGATCCTGTGGGTGTGTCCCCACCTTGCTTCCGCTGCTACTGTTTCCTCCCGCCGTGCGCCCCGAGGCGCGCGGCGATTTTCTGCCCGCCGTGCGCCCCGAGGCGCGCGGCGGTTTTCTGCCCGCCGTGCGCCCCGAGGCGCGCGGCGGGCTTCTCCCCTACGTCGTGGCCCCGCCCCGATCGTCGCGGCCCCGCCCCTTGACGCGGCCCCGCTCTACGTCGCGGCCCCGCCCCGGCCCGTCGCCGCCCGTGCGCCTGCCCGGCTCGGCCCCGCCCTTCGTCGCGGCCCCGCCCCGGCCCGTCGCCGCCCGTGCGCCTGCCCGGCTCGGCCCCGCCCTACCTTCGCGGCCCCGCCCCTTGATGCGGCCCCGCCCTTCGTCGCGGCCCCGCCCCGGCCCGTCGCCGCCCGTGCGCCTGCCCGGCTTGGCCCCGCCCTATGTCACGGCCCCGCCCTACGAAGCGGCCCTGCCCTACGTCGCGGCCCCGCCCCGACCGTCGCGGCCCCGCCCCTCGTCGCGGCCCCGCCCCTGTGTCGCGGCCCCGCCCCTCGAAGCGGCCCCGCCCTACGTCGCGGCCCCGCCCCGCTCGTCGCGGCCCCGCCCCTTGTCGCGGCCCCGCCCTCCCCTCAGGTCCGTGGTGGCCCCCCCCCCTTTCTCCCCTCCCCCCATTTCCCGTCGCCCGTCGCGAGTACAACCCTTCTAGGGTTTGCTATTTGTATCCTCATTCTTGCTAGTTCAATCCTCTTTCTTCTAATTTTGACAAGAAGCAATCAAAAAATCAAACATCATCGCTAAACGTAACGCCGATCGACATCGCAGACCCGTTACTTATCAGTCCGACGACCTCGTGTTACTCGACACTCAGAATCTTCGCCTGCCCATCACTCCAAAACTTCGCCCCCGATATTGTGGGCCATTTCGCATCAGCCACATGATCACACCCGTCACCGCCCACCTCCTCCTCCCTGCTGACTGGTACGTCAGCCCGTCATTCCACGTCAGCCTACTTCGCCCTTACATCCCATCCACGAGCCAACTGCCACGAAATCGCCCAGCCAGCATGACACGTCCCCCAACCGAACCACTCATCACCCCTGAAAAAATCCTCAGCCACCGAGTCCGCGACCCTCGGGGAGCCCGAAGGATCGAGTTCCTAATTCGCTGGAAGGACCGAACGCCCACAGAAGACAACTGGGTCCCCCTGGATAAAATTGAGAACCACCCTGTCTTCCCCGAGTATCTGCGAAGCCGAAATTTCCGCGACGTCCATGCGCTCTCGTAAGAGGGGCCCCTTGGGGAGGGGGGTAGTGTAAGGAAATTCCCTTTTCCTTACTTCGCGTCCCTGCTCAACGCGTACGTCACTGTAGCACCTCAGTCAGCACCGTTACCACTCGCGACCATCTCATCATTCATTATCCCGCCCTTTTCGCACATCGCATCCCGACCTCACGGCTCGGCTGGTAACCCGCGCTCCGGGCCTACGCTTCGACACTTTCCCAACCTCAGTCCCAGGCTCGTCGCGCGACAACCACAGTCCATTACCGTTACCACTATTGTTTCGCTATATAATCCTTCGCTCATGCCTTCGCTCATTGTACTTTTTGCTTCGATAGTGCAATTCTCGTTCGTTCACTCAATTGCACTCTTAACAGTTGGTTTGGTGCACATTTAATGATGCTGCTGCTAAATGGAGAGAGTCATGATAAATTCTTTATATAAACAAGTACATTGCATCAGCTATCAGCACACAAGAAGGGTACAATTCTCCCCAGCAATTTATCCTAAAGACCTGTACTGACACGTGTATTTACACGGAGCTGCTTCCAGGAGATGAGTCAAGACCTGTACTGAGATGAGTTGGGATCACTGGCAGTGGAAGGGGGGTTGTTGGGGGTGAGTCTGATATGGTTGATCCCTAAGGGACAGTGAGGAGGAGGCGGGAGGGGGAGGTGGTGTGGTGCGGTTGTCGTGCCATTCTAAGAGGGGGGAGGTGCTGGGGTGGTTGTGGTGTTGGCTTAGGGGAAAGGGAGAGGCAGAGAGGGGGAGGTGGTATTAGCGGAGGGGGAGGGGGAAGGCAGTGAGGGGGAGGTGGTATTGGCGGAGGGGGAAGGGGAAGACAGTGAGGGGGAGGTGGTATTGGCGGAGGGGGAGGGGGAAGGAAGTGAGGGGGAGGTGGTATTGGCGGAGGGAGAGGGGGAAGGCAGTGAGGGGGAGGTGGTATTGGCGGAGGGGGAAGGAAGGGGCAGTGAGGGGGAGGTGGTATTGGCGGAGGGGGAAGGGAGAGGCAGTGAGGGGGAGGTGGTATTGGCGGAGGGGGAAGGGAGGGGCAGTGAGGGGGAGGTGGTATTGGCGGAGGGGGAAGGGAGAGGCAGAGAGGGGGAGGTGGTATTGGCGGAGGGGGAGGGGGAAGGCAGTGAGGGGGAGGTGGTATTGGCGGAGGGGGAAGGGGAAGGTAGTGAGGGGGAGGTAGTATTGGCAGAGGGGGAAGGGAGAGGCGATGGGGGGGAGGTGGTATTGGCAGAGGGGGAGGGGGAAGGCAGTGAGGGGGAGGTGGTATTGCCAGCGGGGGAAGGGAGAGGCAGTGAGGGGGATGTGGTATTGGCAGAGGTTGAAGGGGAGGGGGGAAGGCTAGCGGAAGGGAGGGGGGGAAGGTCAGCGGAAGGAAAGGGGGGAAGCGAAGCAGAAGGGAGGGGGGGAAGGGCAGCGGAAGGAAGGGGGGGAAGGGAAGCAGAAGGGAGGGGGGGAAGGGCAGCGGAAGGAAGGGGGGGAAGGGAAGCAGAAGGGAGGGGGGGAAGGGCAGCGGAAGGAAGAGTTGGAAGGGCAGCAGTCGGAAGAGAAGGGAGAGGCGAGGGCAAGAGCGGAATTCCCCCCAAACCTCCCCCCATACCTCCCGCCAAACCTCCCCCCAGAGCTCCTCCAATTGCCCCCAGCCCCCCTGCAGTAGCAGCAGCAATAGCCTCCGCTTCCACCGCTTTCAACCCCTTCCCTTTCCCAGCCGCCTTTGCTGCCAACCCTCCCATGGCTGCACCGCTTGTCACGCCTCCCAAACCTCCTATCACCGCACCAGCTGCTGTAGCAGCGGCACCACTGGCAGCATTGCCAGCACCAGGGGTGTTGCCAGTGCCAGCAGCACCAGCGCCAGTGGAAGCAGGCGGTGATGGAGGAGGTCGGATCGGCAGCGGTTCGAACGTGGCGGAGCCAGGGGTGGCGGAACCAGGGGTGGCGGAACCAGGGGTGGCGGAACCAGGGGTGGCGGAACTAGGGGTGGCGGAACCAGGGGTGGCGGAACCAGGGGTGGCGGAACTAGGGGTGGCGAAACCAGGGGTGGCGGAACTAGGGGTGGCGAAACCAGGGGTGGCGGAAACAGGAGTGGCGGAACCAGGGGTGGCGGAACCATCAAGGATGGTGACTTCGGAAGGCGAGGGCAGTCCGGGGATTCCCCCTCTTCTCATCATTCCGCCCACCCCTCTCCGCGCATTAGCCACAGCAGCAGAAACGGCAGGATAAGCGGCGCTTCCGGTAACCCCGCTGCTGCTGCCGCCGCTGCTGCTGCTGCTGGTCATGGTAGGGAGATTAGAGGGCGTAGATTGAGAAGCGGAAAGGCGAGGGGTGGCGAGCAGGAGGAGCGGGAGGAGGAGGAGCAAGGAGAGGCGAAGGGGGCGGAGTTCCATGGCAAATCGAAAGAGGCTTCGATTTGAAGGCCGCGGAATACTAGCCATGGAACCTGCTTTGATGTAGAACGATGAGCGGGAAGCTGCGACACGTCACGGCGAGTAACGGTTACTATTAGTTCAGGATTGACTCGACGCGTCACGTTGAACGTTCTGAAGCCGGAGCAGCGGCGCGCTGCTAGTCAGTTCCGACCGACTTTTCTTGGTCACTAGGAAACGTCGTTGAAGCGAATTTTTGAGGCGTTTCAAGAATTAAAGCGCTGATGTTGTCTGTCGGGCGAAAGATCTCGTGAGGCGAGAGACGAGAGATGAGAAAGTGTGGTTGACTGACAGGTTTCGGCGGCCTTTTATGCACGCTACTAGCGTTAGCATCGGCACCAGCTCCGAGCTCATTGACATAATCGAGGCGACATGTTAGAAATAAAATCAGCGATTGCGCTCTAAACGCCGGTGCACAAAGCGGTGCCGAAGCTACCATGCGGAAGACTTGGTCGGGACCGGCAAAAGGGCGGAGAAAAGCATCGCATGCGGAAAAGCTAGCCAGTATCTTTCTCTGGCAGAGTCGAACCGCGTGCGTCAACCATTCTCTGTCGACCCCCGCTACGAGATTTCCGCCTCATCAAGCCAAGTTCTGAATGGAAGCTGCGAGCTGAAAGCTTATTCAGTGAAGGAACCATGGTTATCGAAACGACTTCAGCATAGCCCGATGTTTCGCTTATTTTGAGCTTTAGCATTGACAGTACGAAACTAGGATGCTACACCCTGTATTGATATCGCCAGCCTGTAGCAGTGATCTGGATCATGCAAGGAAGTATGAGTAGGAAGAGGCGTGACTCTCCTGAGGTTGTCAACTCAAAACGGCGTTGTCTTCCAGTGAAAGGGAAACAGGTGTGGTCGGCTTCTGAACGGACAAGAGAGATTTATGTGGGAGTGGTTGCATTGCAAAGTTTCGCATTCGTAAAATTTGAGATTCCAGTGCTTTTTTAGGAGCGCCCGAGGCGCGAATCTGAGATGTGGAAATCGAGAGAACTTTGAATTTGAGAAATCGAAGCGCGGACCGCCTGCCTGACTGTAACGTTTCGTGGTTGAGGCCGATTGACCAGTCAGATCACATGAGGCAGAAAAGTTTCTCGTGCGAGACGGCTAGCGAGATGACTGTAGAGAACGTTGACGAAATGAAGGTCGCAGGGTGGGCCAGAGTAGGAGATAGTTAATTATATGTAATGGACCTGACATGCGACCGAAACAGTAGGAGGACATCGCGGATGTTCGCAAAACAAAAGCTACCAAGGATGATTTCGCCACTTCTTGACTTCTCGAGCTTCCTGTCCCTTCTCCTCCTATCCCCGTCTAAATCAAACCCGATTCTCTCAGCCAATCGCATCTAGTCACCTGCGTCTGCAAACCTTATCCTGGTAATTCAAGGTAAATCTATCTTTGTCGCCCATTGCGTTCCGTTCCCAACGCATTTGGCATCTTGGTTGTGCTCCCATTCACCCTTCCTTCCTGAAAACGCCTTCACATACCTCACCGACTTCAATCAAAGACCCTCGAACAGCGCATAGGCGGTGCCCACCAGCCCTTATTTTTTCGTCTCTTTAATCAAGTCATATCCGACAGTTCAATACCGTGTCGTACGGGTTCGATTCTTACAGAGTCATTTTGCAATATGGCTGACGAGGAGATCAACTATGAGAGCGACGCGGGGTTAGATTCTATTTTCTTCACCCGCCCCAAGGGCCCGAATCCTCCGCCTACGCCGTATCTTTACGTGGCAAACTGCGGTGCTGAGGCGGAGATGACGTATGCAGCCCTTGCTGACGTGTTCTCCTCCTTCGGCCACGTCCGCCGCGTCGTCCCGGCCGGCGCCGCCAATCTCACCCGCATTTTTGTCGTTTTCGGCGGGCGCTCGCGCGCTGAGGCCTCCGCTGCGGCGGAAGCTGCACTGCAGGCGCTGAGCGGAAAGCCGTGCGCGGACGCGGGCGGTAGGAAGATGCACATCCAGTTCGCCGTGGGGAAGCGATCCGCGCCGGTAGGCTCTTCTTGTTTTGGCACCTCCCACAGGCCTTTTCATCAGTAGAAACTCGTTGTTACAATACAAAAAAAGCCAACAACGGGCGGACGAAATATGCACATTCAGTTCGCTGTGTGGAAGCGATTCGCTCCGGTAGGCATTGTTTGCGAACACTCATAAGGGAAACTCAGGTTTTAATATTTCTGTATTTTTTTCGGGGTTCATTACGATATCACGGGTGTACTAGTCGGATGACATCAGATCTGGGACACAGGGTTTGGGGGTTTACATTTTTTTTACTCATTTTGTTTTCCCCGCAGGTGGAGCATCCGGTGGTACACCACAATGTTGACGCGCTCGCTATACCGGGGCTGTTCCTGCACCTCGATTTTGTCACACCCGAGATGGAACAGGTGTGAGGATTGGGGGGGTGAGGGTTCAGGGTTCAATGCGGGAACAGTTGTCACTCTCTTACAATCACATTTCCAGGCGTGGGTTGGCTTCGCTATGCACCTCGTTTTTGTCACTTCAAAGATGGAACAGGTGAGAGGGGTCGGGGGTCAGCTCATGGGTTCAGGCGTCAACAGTACGACTTACAAACACAATGGTGACTTACAAGCACAATGGTGACTTACAAGCACAATCGTGACTTACAACCACAATGGTGAGACAATGGTCCGACAAGCACCATGGTCGGTCTGTTTCTCCCCTCTCCTCTCTTTCCCCCCCCTCCTTCCCAAACCAACATCTCCCCCCTCCTTCCCAAACCAACATCTCCCCCCTCCTTCCCAAACCAACATCTCCCCCCTCCTTCCCAAACCAACATCTCCCCCCTCCTTCCCAAACCAACATCTCCCCCCTCCCCACTCTCCCCACAGAGTCTTTTGGAGTTTGCGGATGGCAACGATTGGCATTATCTGACAAAGAGGCGCGTTCAGCACCACGGTTACGCTTTCAACTACTCTGTATGCTGTATAAGTGGATATGTGCTTTTAGGCGCCCTAAAAAATGGATGTTTATGGTTATGTTGTTATTTATTTGGCTGAATAAACTGCGGTGCTGTATGCAGCACCATTGGTTACGCCTTCATGAACACTGGATGTGTATAGATAGACTTACATTCTAATCGTATTCTTGTTTGTGCTTTCTTCTACAATGGAAGGTCACATTGTGTGAGTACATTCACTTTGAATCCCCCCTTTGATGCCTCGTCCCTACGCCTCTCCACATTATCAATCCCCCTTGGCCTGTTTATGCGTTGTAAGCGCTTTCTGATTGCTTTTCCGAAACTGCTTGCGTCCTCCTTCTTTCTCCTTGTTCCCTTCCCTCGCTGCTCCTCCCCCCCTCCCCCTCTCTCCCCTTTTTTCCCTCCTTCAGACACGAGACATCGAGAAAGACAAGTGGATCGGCCCGCTACCCGCAGCAGTGTCGGATTTTGTTTCGCGGGCAGAACAGCTGCCCGAGCTCACGGGCTGCCCGGAAGTTTGCATGCCGCTGGACCAACTAACGGTGAGATCAGGGCGTGTTCGGGCTGCTTCATTCATGGAAACGATTGATTCGTGTTGGGTCGGTCTCGTGTACAGGAACTGCCGAACGCATGCTGTATGATTTGCTTGAGGTTGATTTTGATCTCCTCCGGTCCACAGGAAGGTAGGGGTGGGCCTGGGGAAGAAAACGCTGCTCCTTCTACCTCCCCCCTTCTCCCCTTCTTCTCCCTCTCCCCTTACGCCACAGATCAACGAGTACGAATGCAGGGGTGGGCCTGGCGCCGCACATTGACACGCATGCTGCCGTCCTCTCTCATTCAAGGCCGCCGTGCTCTCGCTCTCCCTCAGCCCCCCCCCCCCCCCCCCCCCCCCCCACCACCTTTCTCCATCTGTCCCCGCACAGATAAATGAGTCTGCAACAGGGGTGGGCCTGGCTCCGCACATTGACACGCATGCTGCATTTGAAGGCGCCGCTCTCACCCTCTCCCAGGCTGGCCCTGCGATTATGGAGTTCAAGAGACCCTTGGGGCTTCAACCCGTGGCCCTTCTGCCCTCTCCTTCCCCGCCCCCTTCCTTGGCAGATCAACGAGTACGGGACAGGGGTGGGCCTGGCACCGCACATCGACACGCATGCTGCATTCGAGGGTGCTGTTCTCTCCCTCTCCCTGGCTGGCCCTGCGATTATGGAGTTCAGGAGACCCCTCGGGCCGCAACCCGTGGGGAAACAACCACTGGGGAAGAAAAAGGTTGTTGGTGGGAGCAGTGGGAGCAGTGAACAGGGTGTGGGGAGTGAGATTAGTAGGGGCAGCAATGGAAAGTGTGAGAGCAGTGACAGTGCCTGTTGCAGCAGCGACGACAATAGCAGAGGCAATGGTGCTGTCAGTGGTGTTAGCCAAATCAGCACTAACCATAGCAGCAGCAACAGCAGTGACTGTAGCGCAGTTAGAGCTGAGGAAAAAGCCGGAGTAGAAGCTAAGGAGGTAGCAACACCAAATGAGAGGAGAGCGGAGGAGAATCGAGAAGAGGAGAGGAGAGCAGAAGAGAGGAAAACCGAGGAAAGGAGAGCAGAGGACAGGAGAGTGCTCTTCCTACCCCCTCGCTCCCTCCTAGTCCTAACAGGGGAGGCCCGATACGCGTGGTCTCACTACATTCCCAACCACAAGATCGACCACATCAACGGTCAGGTTTTCCCGCGCGCCCCCCGCCGCGTTTCTTACACCTTCCGGAGGGTTCGGTTTGGCCCGTGCGGGTGTGCTTACCCTGAGTTCTGTGATGCTCCCAGAATGGAAAGTGTTGCCGGAAATGGAAAAGTGTCGACTGATAGGGACAGGGCAGCGGGAAGTGAGGGAATGTTGGTGGAGGGATCGGGAGCAGAGAAATTGCTTGTGAAGCAGAAGGGACGTGAGGGGATGAGGGAGAGAGTGGGAGATGGGTGTTGTGGAGGGAGTGTGGTGACACACTCACACGAAGGGGTGGCAGAGTGTGGGGAGGAGGGGGAGAAGGGAAAGAAGGAAGAGCAGAGAATGGGAGGAGGGAACGATGGGGAACCTGTGATGACGCACTCGCATGAAGGAGTGGAGGAGCGCGCAGAGGAGGAAAGGGCAGAGAGGGAGGATGGGAAAGAGAGCTCCATCCCCCCTCATGTTGATCCTCCGAACCTTCTCTACTCTCCTCAAACCACCCCAGCAGTAGAGCGAGACTTTGTGCACAAGGTATACGACGCCATAGCGCCGCATTTCAGCGCGACACGTTTCGCGCGCTGGCCCAAGGTAGCAGAGTTCCTGCTCTCCCTCCCACCGGGCTCCCTTGTCCTCGACGCCGGGTGTGGCAACGGGAAGTACCTCAATGGTGGGTTGCCCATCCCGCCTGCTCTCCCTTCCGCTGCCTCTGTGTCTGTCTCTGCGTCTTCCTCTTTGTCAATGCGCACTTCCTCCTCCCCGTTCCCTTCCTCGTCCTCCACTCCTTCCTCCTCCACCCCCTTCCCTCCCTCCTCCTCCCCTTCCTCCGCCCCTACCCGCCCACCGGCCGTTCTGATTGGCTGCGACATCAGCCCGCCTCTCGTCTCCATCTGCACCCAACGGGGCTTCGAGGCCTTTGTAGCCGATACCCTCTCGCTCCCCCTCGCTTCCTCGCGCTTCGACGCGGCGATTTCCGTGGCCGTTTTGCACCACTTGTCGTCTGAAACCCGGCGGAAACACGCGCTAAGAGAGATGCTTAGGGTGGTGAGGAAGGGGGGTAGGGTGCTGGTGACTGTGTGGGCGAGGGAGCAGGAGAATCCGGGGTTGCTTGACAAGTGGACGCCGCTGATTGGCCGGATGGCGGATAAGTGGGTGGGGGATGTGGAGGCGGGCGGAGGGGAGGAGAAGGGAGGGGAGAGGGAAGGGAGGGCGGGAGGAGGACTGGGGGGGATCGAGGAGGAAAGAGAGACCAGTAACGAGGAGAATGCGTGTCCAAGGAGGGGCTCAGCTGGAAAAGAGGTTCCAGGAGAAAAGGGAGCAACAGCAGGGGAAGGGATGAGTGAGGAGAGTGCAGCTGGGGGCAGTGGGGAAAAGAACCCAAACCCAGAACTTGGAAGGGGAGGGTCGGGGGAAGAAAGGACAGGAGAGTCTGAGCAAGGGAAAGTGACAGGAGAGGAAGCTTCCCAGGAGTTTCTGGTCCCGTGGCACCTGCCATGTCATCGAGTGGAGATAGGCTCGGCAGCAGCTGCACAGCATGTAGCCTCGGGATTTGCTCGGCGCGATGAAGCGAAGGGGTCGGTGGTGTACAACCGATATTATTATGTTTTCACTCAAGGAGAGCTGGAGAGGTGCGTATCATGCAATTGTGTGCTTGCTGTTGTTCGTTTGTTTGTTCTTACTGTTATACTGAAGTTTTTTTTGTGGTTCTGCTCATGTTCTTCCTGGTGTTCTGTGCTGCAGGCTCATCACAGAGATTGGTGGTGCATCAATTGTTGAGAGCTTTTACGACAAATCCAATTGGTGTGTGATAATGGAGAAGCTCTAGAAGGGCCTCCAACCTTCATGCTGCCGTAAGTTAGTGTTTTATTATGCATACATGGACTGCTGCAACAGAAGTTACGGTACTCTGCTTTCATTCTGCTGGACAAATTGTAGATGTCCTCCTGGTGTCTCTTGTAAAAACTGTTGGCCTGAGAAAGCCCTTAAGGATCTTTGCAGAGGATAACTCTGGGTAGGATATTTGTAATAGCGGAAGCGTTTAATGAAGTTTGTGAACCGACCTTGCACTAGTGTGTGAGAGCAAAGTGGATTGAATTAAACAAGCAAATACAAGGTTTTATATAAGAGTACAGGGAATACGAATGGATAGATAACTGTATTTGCTGTTGCGATTCGATACAGTGCGACTCGGGCAACTGCTCTGTAACGAGTCAGTTGTGTGTCCTTAACTGTCGCGCTGTAATTGTCGAGTCAAAGGTCGCTGACCTTTGACTTTCCCGTAACCTCCAGGCGGTTACCCTAACCTCCGAGGTTTGACTCGATGCTTCGATTCGGACTGCTTCGCTAGTGTCTTGGGTTTTGACACGACAGAAGCGCACTAAGACTTATTGTTTCCAACACTCCCCTTCGCTTCTGGAGTGTCGCCGCAGGTGACGTGGCCTTGTCCAGTCAGCAGCATGCAGTATTCGAACTTCTGCTTTCCGAGCTTCTTGGTCAAGTAATCGGCTGCCATCTCAGACGTGGGACAGTATGACAGATCGAGTTTCCCCTTTTCGATCTCGTCCTTCACGAAGAAATAGCGCAGGGCAATGTGTTTCGTCCTGTTTGCGAAGCCGTTCTTGTTGGCGATGCGAATTGCTGACTGGTTGTCGCAGAACACGGTGAAGCTGGGTAACTCGGCTAACTTCGCTTCTTCCAGCAGTTCGCGAAGGTAAAGTCCCTCCTTGGTGGCTGAGCAGAGTGCAATATATTCCGCTTCAGCTGAAGACAGTGCGATTAACTCCTGCTTACTCGACTGCCAGGAGATGGGTCCGATAGGCTCGAGGCGGTAGACATAGCCGGTGCGTGAGCGCCTGTTATCGGTGTCGCCGGCGTGATCGGCGTCGACGTAGCCGATTAGCTTGGTCGGTGTAGTTGCGTTTTTGTGATAAGTTAATCCGATCGTCGCGGTGCTGACGAAATAGTGGAGAGCGCGATCGAGTTCCGCCAGATGCTCTGCTTCAGGCTTCTTGAGATAGGTGGCGAGCTGGCTCGCGGAGTAGGATAAGTCGGGACGGCATGTGACTGCTGCGAAGAGAAGACATCCGAGCTTCTTCTGATAGTCGCGTATGCCGGCGGGCTTGAGTAGGATAGATCGTCCCTTTTCGGTTCCTGACGTGTAGCGGTAAGGCGTGGAGATGGCGCTTGGTGTGAGGCTGAAGCGTTTCGCGATGGTGTCGGCGTACTTCTCGGCGCTTAGATAGATTGCGTTTTCTTCCTCGCGGATGTTGAGCCCGAGGTACTGCGTAACGGTAGAAGAGACCGTGAGCGTGAGGTCTTTCTGAAGCTCCCCTTCGAACCACGTGGCGATGCCGTCGGTTGACCCAATGTAGAGGAGATCGTCCACGTAGACGATTAGGAGAACGTAGTCACTTCCCTTTGTGAGGCGATACATGCCCTGGTCATGCGGGAGTTGTTTGAAACCGATGCGAATGAGGCGGGCGTGTAGGTACTGCTGCCACAATCGCGGTGCCTGCTTGATCTCGTAGAGCGACTTAAGCAGTTGACAGACTCGGTTGGGTTCGCCGTGGGAGCCGTGCGGGAGCTCGACGAAGATTTCTGCATCCACAGGTGCGTAGAGAAATGCGTTTGCGACGTCGATTTGTCGCAGTTTCTTTTTCTTCATGGCGGCGACGGCGATGAGGATTCGGAGTGAGGTGTGACGGCTGACCGGAGCGAAGGTTTCGGTGTAATCTCTTCCGTGCTCCTGGTCAAAGCCGCGTACGACCCAGCGAGCTTTGAATTTGTCGATGGTGCCGTCAACTTTCGTCTTCACACGGAAGACCCACTTTCCGGTAAGGATAGTCTTGTTTTGTGCTACGCCGTGAGAAGGTTAGAACGAGAATGAAATGACTATGAATGAAGTGAGTACAAATAGGAAACTCTAGTTGGGTTGTACCCCCTATGGGATACCCCACTATAGCCTACACAAAGAAGTAAGCTATAATATTCTGACACACCCCCATAGGCAAAGTGGGGGAGAAGAAGGGGTCACAAGACCAGTCAAGCAAACAAAGCAAAGCTCAGGGTGGATCACAAAGTCACCACACATTCCGAGCACAAGTTCAAGGGCCACAAGGCCAGTTCACATGCAAGACCATATATAGAGATATACAAGAGTCAAGCAAGCAAGAGCAAGAGTATATATATAGGTCGAGGTACAAGGAAGGTCAAGAAGTGAGCAAGTGAGGCAAGACAGGCACAAGACCCAACTGCGTGCAGCAACGCTGATGATCACAAGGCGCAAGTGCCTTGGTGAAGACATCAGCAGTGTTGGCCTCAGAGGCCACGTACGCAAGTCGCAACTGTCCACGCTGCTGTAGCTCACGAGCAAGAAAGTAGCGGAGAGCAATGTGCTTTGTCCTGTGCTCCAGTCGCTGCTCTCGACACAAGGCCAGCATGGCCTTGTTGTCTACGTACAGGACTGGAGGAGAACGAGGCGGCTCTCCAAGGTCGGTCAACAGGTAGGTGAGCCAGCGTAACTCCTGTGCAGCCATAGCCCCGGCGTAGATCTCAGCCTCACAACTAGAGCCGAGAACAGAAGACGAGCGGGTAGCCCGCCACGAAACAGAGCCGGAACCAAGGCTGAAGGTGTAACCCTGTGACGACCGCTGCGTAGCCTGGTCGTCAGCCCAAGAAGCGTCCGCGTGCCCAGTGAGGACCACTGGACTGCACCCTCCAAGCACTAGCCCCATGCCCGACGTACTGCACAAGTAGCGCAACACCCTCTTCGCTGCAGCCATGTGCTCTGGTCGGTGTCTCCCAGGAGCAACATAGCGTGCAAGAATGCTAAGAGGGTATGCAAGGTCAGGTCGTGTGCAGGTCATCAGGTACATGAGGCAGCCAACAAGCTCTGCATATGGGCCACTCGACTCTACGGACTCATCCGAAGGCAGAGCTGAGAGCGAGTGGCGAGTAGGCAGAGGAGTGGCCTGAGGCGAGGAGTACGTGAAGCCAAAGCGCTGAAGGACCTGCTGCACCATGTGTGACTGAGTCAGGGTAATGGTGCGGCGTGCTCTGTCTCGGGTGATCTGCAAGCCAAGGTAGCTGCGCAGTTCACCCAGGTCAGTGCATGTGTGTCTCTTCTGCAGCTCGGACTTCACGTAGGCGAGTCCAGCAGTGTCAGCTGTGGCAAAGACCAAGTCGTCGACGTACACGAGGATGTAGAACGGCGGCAGAGAGGTGTCGGTGCGCAGAAACAGCGACGGGTCGGCAGTAGAAGGAGCAAACCCAAGTGCCGCCAGCGTAGTCCTCAGTGTGTCGTGCCACTCACGTGGCGCCTGGCGGAGACCGTAGACTGGACGCCGGAGACTCCACTGGGTACCAGGAGGGAAAGACCCAGTGAAGCCAGGTGGGCGACGCAGCCAGATCTCCTCGTGCAGGCTGCCCTGCAAGAAAGCTGTGCTGAAGTCGAGAGAGTGCAGCTCGTAGTCACGGTGAGCAGCAACGTGCAGCAGTACCCGAAGAGTGGTCATCTTTGGGGTGGGGGAGAAGGTCTGAAAGTAGTCAACCCCCTGCCGCTGACTGAAGCCACGAGCCACGTAACGCGCCTTGAAGACAGGCGGAGAACCCGGCGGCCGCTTCACCCTGAAAATCCACATGCCACTGACGATGTTCGCCCCAGGAGGGGGAACAGCGTCGACGTAGGTGCCTGTGGACTTCCAGGAAGCCATCTCTGCATCCATAGCTGCCTGCCACTGAGAGGAGTAGGGACCCTCTATCGCCTCCGCGTAAGAGCGCGGAGTCGGGATGTCTAGTGCATCCGGGTCTCCCTCAGGGGCTAGCAGTACAGACGCGAGATGAGGTGAAGCGGCGGCCAGACACTGGAACTCCTCCTGCCTGTCCTCAAGGACGTCCGTGCCAAGGGCACACTCACCCCCGACGGACGGAGGACAGGCAGACTCAGACTCAGCGACAAGACTAGCAGCGTAGTCTAGACGACAGCGCGCAGCAAAGTCGACGAGCTCAGTGACAAGGGCAGACGCAGCAGAAGACTCGAAAGAAGGGTCAGTGACAGCAGTAGCAAGGAGACGCATGACAGTAGGAGAATCCGGGGTTGCTTGACAAGTGGACGCCGCTGATTGGCCGGATGGCGGATAAGTGGGTGGGGGATGTGGAGGCGGGCGGAGGGGAGGAGAAGGGAGGGGAGAGGGAAGGGAGGGCGGGAGGAGGACTGGGGGGGATCGAGGAGGAAAGAGAGACCAGTAACGAGGAGAATGCGTGTCCAAGGAGGGGCTCAGCTGGAAAAGAGGTTCCAGGAGAAAAGGGAGCAACAGCAGGGGAAGGGATGAGTGAGGAGAGTGCAGCTGGGGGCAGTGGGGAAAAGAACCCAAACCCAGAACTTGGAAGGGGAGGGTCGGGGGAAGAAAGGACAGGAGAGTCTGAGCAAGGGAAAGTGACAGGAGAGGAAGCTTCCCAGGAGTTTCTGGTCCCGTGGCACCTGCCATGTCATCGAGTGGAGATAGGCTCGGCAGCAGCTGCACAGCATGTAGCCTCGGGATTTGCTCGGCGCGATGAAGCGAAGGGGTCGGTGGTGTACAACCGATATTATTATGTTTTCACTCAAGGAGAGCTGGAGAGGTGCGTATCATGCAATTGTGTGCTTGCTGTTGTTCGTTTGTTTGTTCTTACTGTTATACTGAAGTTTTTTTTGTGGTTCTGCTCATGTTCTTCCTGGTGTTCTGTGCTGCAGGCTCATCACAGAGATTGGTGGTGCATCAATTGTTGAGAGCTTTTACGACAAATCCAATTGGTGTGTGATAATGGAGAAGCTCTAGAAGGGCCTCCAACCTTCATGCTGCTGTAAGTTAGTGTTTTATTATGCATACATGGACTGCTGCAACAGAAGTTACGGTACTCTGCTTTCATTCTGCTGGACAAATTGTAGATGTCCTCCTGGTGTCTCTTGTAAAAACTGTTGGCCTGAGAAAGCCCTTAAGGATCTTTGCAGAGGATAACTCTGGGTAGGATATTTGTAATAGCGGAAGCGTTTAATGAAGTTTGTGAACCGACCTTGCACTAGTGTGTGAGAGCAAAGTGGATTGAATTAAACAAGCAAATACAAGGTTTTATATAAGAGTACAGGGAATACGAATGGATAGATAACTGTATTTGCTGTTGCGATTCGATACAGTGCGACTCGGGCAACTGCTCTGTAACGAGTCAGTTGTGTGTCCTTAACTGTCGCGCTGTAATTGTCGAGTCAAAGGTCGCTGACCTTTGACTTTCCCGTAACCTCCAGGCGGTTACCCTAACCTCCGAGGTTTGACTCGATGCTTCGATTCGGACTGCTTCGCTAGTGTCTTGGGTTTTGACACGACAGAAGCGCACTAAGACTTATTGTTTCCAACACTCCCCTTCGCTTCTGGAGTGTCGCCGCAGGTGACGTGGCCTTGTCCAGTCAGCAGCATGCAGTATTCGAACTTCTGCTTTCCGAGCTTCTTGGTCAAGTAATCGGCTGCCATCTCAGACGTGGGACACTATGACAGATCGAGTTTCCCCTTTTCGATCTCGTCCTTCACGAAGAAATAGCGCAGGGCAATGTGTTTCGTCCTGTTTGCGAAGCCGTTCTTGTTGGCGATGCGAATTGCTGACTGGTTGTCGCAGAACACGGTGAAGCTAGGTAACTCGGCTAACTTCGCTTCTTCCAGCAGTTCGCGAAGGTAAAGTCCCTCCTTGGTGGCTGAGCAGAGTGCAATATATTCCGCTTCAGCTGAAGACAGTGCGATTAACTCCTGCTTACTCGACTGCCAGGAGATGGGACCGATAGGCTCGAGGCGGTAGACATAGCCGGTGCGTGAGCGCCTGTTATCGGTGTCGCCGGCGTGATCGGCGTCGACGTAGCCGATTAGCTTGGTCGGTGTAGTTGCGTTTTTGTGATAAGTTAATCCGATCGTCGCGGTGCTGACGAAATAGTGGAGAGCGCGATCGAGTTCCGCCAGATGCTCTGCTTCAGGCTTCTTGAGATAGGTGGCGAGCTGGCTCGCGGAGTAGGATAAGTCGGGACGGCATGTGACTGCTGCGAAGAGAAGACATCCGAGCTTCTTCTGATAGTCGCGTATGCCGGCGGGCTTGAGTAGGATAGATCGTCCCTTTTCGGTTCCTGACGTGTAGCGGTAAGGCGTGGAGATGGCGCTTGGTGTGAGGCTGAAGCGTTTCGCGATGGTGTCGGCGTACTTCTCGGCGCTTAGATAGATTGCGTTTTCTTCCTCGCGGATGTTGAGCCCGAGGTACTGCGTAACGGTAGAAGAGACCGTGAGCGTGAGGTCTTTCTGAAGCTCCCCTTCGAACCACGTGGCGATGCCGTCGGTTGACCCAATGTAGAGGAGATCGTCCACGTAGACGATTAGGAGAACGTAGTCACTTCCCTTTGTGAGGCGATACATGCCCTGGTCATGCGGGAGTTGTTTGAAACCGATGCGAATGAGGCGGGCGTGTAGGTACTGCTGCCACAATCGCGGTGCCTGCTTGATCCCGTAGAGCGACTTAAGCAGTTGACAGACTCGGTTGGGTTCGCCGTGGGAGCCGTGCGGGAGCTCGACGAAGATTTCTGCATCCACAGGTGCGTAGAGAAATGCGTTTGCGACGTCGATTTGTCGCAGTTTCTTTTTCTTCATGGCGGCGACGGCGATGAGGATTCGGAGTGAGGTGTGACGGCTGACCGGAGCGAAGGTTTCGGTGTAATCTCTTCCGTGCTCCTGGTCAAAGCCGCGTACGACCCAGCGAGCTTTGAATTTGTCGATGGTGCCGTCAACTTTCGTCTTCACACGGAAGACCCACTTTCCGGTAAGGATAGTCTTGTTTTGTGCTACGCCGTGAGAAGGTTAGAACGAGAATGAAATGACTATGAATGAAGTGAGTACAAATAGGAAACTCTAGTTGGGTTGTACCCCCTATGGGATACCCCACTATAGCCTACACAAAGAAGTAAGCTATAATATTCTGACACACCCCCATAGGCAAAGTGGGGGAGAAGAAGGGGTCACAAGACCAGTCAAGCAAACAAAGCAAAGCTCAGGGTGGATCACAAAGTCACCACACATTCCGAGCACAAGTTCAAGGGCCACAAGGCCAGTTCACATGCAAGACCATATATAGAGATATACAAGAGTCAAGCAAGCAAGAGCAAGAGTATATATATAGGTCGAGGTACAAGGAAGGTCAAGAAGTGAGCAAGTGAGGCAAGACAGGCACAAGACCCAACTGCGTGCAGCAACGCTGATGATCACAAGGCGCAAGTGCCTTGGTGAAGACATCAGCAGTGTTGGCCTCAGAGGCCACGTACGCAAGTCGCAACTGTCCACGCTGCTGTAGCTCACGAGCAAGAAAGTAGCGGAGAGCAATGTGCTTTGTCCTGTGCTCCAGTCGCTGCTCTCGACACAAGGCCAGCATGGCCTTGTTGTCTACGTACAGGACTGGAGGAGAACGAGGCGGCTCTCCAAGGTCGGTCAACAGGTAGGTGAGCCAGCGTAACTCCTGTGCAGCCATAGCCCCGGCGTAGATCTCAGCCTCACAACTAGAGCCGAGAACAGAAGACGAGCGGGTAGCCCGCCACGAAACAGAGCCGAAACCAAGGCTGAAGGTGTAACCCTGTGACGACCGCTGCGTAGCCTGGTCGTCAGCCCAAGAAGCGTCCGCGTGCCCAGTGAGGACCACTGGACTGCACCCTCCAAGCACTAGCCCCATGCCCGACGTACTGCACAAGTAGCGCAACACCCTCTTCGCTGCAGCCATGTGCTCTGGTCGGTGTCTCCCAGGAGCAACATAGCGTGCAAGAATGCTAAGAGGGTATGCAAGGTCAGGTCGTGTGCAGGTCATCAGGTACATGAGGCAGCCAACAAGCTCTGCATACAGGCCACTCGACTCTACGGACTCATCCGAAGGCAGAGCTGAGAGCGAGTGGCGAGTAGGCAGAGGAGTGGCCTGAGGCGAGGAGTACGTGAAGCCAAAGCGCTGAAGGACCTGCTGCACCATGTGTGACTGAGTCAGGGTAATGGTGCGGCGTGCTCTGTCTCGGGTGATCTGCAAGCCAAGGTAGCTGCGCAGTTCACCCAGGTCAGTGCATGTGTGTCTCTTCTGCAGCTCGGACTTCACGTAGGCGAGTCCAGCAGTGTCAGCTGTGGCAAAGACCAAGTCGTCGACGTACACGAGGATGTAGAACGGCGGCAGAGAGGTGTCGGTGCGCAGAAACAGCGACGGGTCGGCAGTAGAAGGAGCAAACCCAAGTGCCGCCAGCGTAGTCCTCAGTGTGTCGTGCCACTCACGTGGCGCCTGGCGGAGACCGTAGACTGGACGCCGAAGACTCCACTGGGTACCAGGAGGGAAAGACCCAGTGAAGCCAGGTGGGCGACGCAGCCAGATCTCCTCGTGCAGGCTGCCCTGCAAGAAAGCTGTGCTGAAGTCGAGAGAGTGCAGCTCGTAGTCACGGTGAGCAGCAACGTGCAGCAGTACCCGAAGAGTGGTCATCTTTGGGGTGGGGGAGAAGGTCTGAAAGTAGTCAACCCCCTGCCGCTGACTGAAGCCACGAGCCACGTAACGCGCCTTGAAGACAGGCGGAGAACCCGGCGGCCGCTTCACCCTGAAAATCCACATGCCACTGACGATGTTCGCCCCAGGAGGGGGAACAGCGTCGACGTAGGTGCCTGTGGACTTCCAGGAAGCCATCTCTGCATCCATAGCTGCCTGCCACTGAGAGGAGTAGGGACCCTCTATCGCCTCCGCGTAAGAGCGCGGAGTCGGGATGTCTAGTGCATCCGGGTCTCCCTCAGGGGCTAGCAGTACAGACGCGAGATGAGGTGAAGCGGCGGCCAGACACTGGAACTCCTCCTGCCTGTCCTCAAGGACGTCCGTGCCAAGGGCACACTCACCCCCGACGGACGGAGGACAGGCAGACTCAGACTCAGCGACAAGACTAGCAGCGTAGTCTAGACGACAGCGCGCAGCAAAGTCGACGAGCTCAGTGACAAGGGCAGACGCAGCAGAAGACTCGAAAGAAGGGTCAGTGACAGCAGTAGCAAGGAGACGCATGACAGTAGGAGAATCCGGGGTTGCTTGACAAGTGGACGCCGCTGATTGGCCGGATGGCGGATAAGTGGGTGGGGGATGTGGAGGCGGGCGGAGGGGAGGAGAAGGGAGGGGAGAGGGAAGGGAGGGCGGGAGGAGGACTGGGGGGGATCGAGGAGGAAAGAGAGACCAGTAACGAGGAGAATGTGTGTCCAAGGAGGGGCTCAGCTGGAAAAGAGGTTCCAGGAGAAAAGGGAGCAACAGCAGGGGAAGGGATGAGTGAGGAGAGTGCAGCTGGGGGCAGTGGGGAAAAGAACCCAAACCCAGAACTTGGAAGGGGAGGGTCGGGGGAAGAAAGGACAGGAGAGTCTGAGCAAGGGAAAGTGACAGGAGAGGAAGCTTCCCAGGAGTTTCTGGTCCCGTGGCACCTGCCATGTCATCGAGTGGAGATAGGCTCGGCAGCAGCTGCACAGCATGTAGCCTCGGGATTTGCTCGGCGCGATGAAGCGAAGGGGTCGGTGGTGTACAACCGATATTATTATGTTTTCACTCAAGGAGAGCTGGAGAGGTGCGTATCATGCAATTGTGTGCTTGCTGTTGTTCGTTTGTTTGTTCTTACTGTTATACTGAAGTTTTTTTTGTGGTTCTGCTCATGTTCTTCCTGGTGTTCTGTGCTGCAGGCTCATCACAGAGATTGGTGGTGCATCAATTGTTGAGAGCTTTTACGACAAATCCAATTGGTGTGTGATAATGGAGAAGCTCTAGAAGGGCCTCCAACCTTCATGCTGCCGTAAGTTAGTGTTTTATTATGCATACATGGACTGCTGCAACAGAAGTTACGGTACTCTGCTTTCATTCTGCTGGACAAATTGTAGATGTCCTCCTGGTGTCTCTTGTAAAAACTGTTGGCCTGAGAAAGCCCTTAAGGATCTTTGCAGAGGATAACTCTGGGTAGGATATTTGTAATAGCGGAAGCGTTTAATGAAGTTTGTGAACCGACCTTGCACTAGTGTGTGAGAGCAAAGTGGATTGAATTAAACAAGCAAATACAAGGTTTTATATAAGAGTACAGGGAATACGAATGGATAGATAACTGTATTTGCTGTTGCGATTCGATACAGTGCGACTCGGGCAACTGCTCTGTAACGAGTCAGTTGTGTGTCCTTAACTGTCGCGCTGTAATTGTCGAGTCAAAGGTCGCTGACCTTTGACTTTCCCGTAACCTCCAGGCGGTTACCCTAACCTCCGAGGTTTGACTCGATGCTTCGATTCGGACTGCTTCGCTAGTGTCTTGGGTTTTGACACGACAGAAGCGCACTAAGACTTATTGTTTCCAACACTCCCCTTCGCTTCTGGAGTGTCGCCGCAGGTGACGTGGCCTTGTCCAGTCAGCAGCATGCAGTATTCGAACTTCTGCTTTCCGAGCTTCTTGGTCAAGTAATCGGCTGCCATCTCAGACGTGGGACAGTATGACAGATCGAGTTTCCCCTTTTCGATCTCATCCTTCACGAAGAAATAGCGCAGGGCAATGTGTTTCGTCCTGTTTGCGAAGCCGTTCTTGTTGGCGATGCGAATTGCTGACTGGTTGTCGCAGAACACGGTGAAGCTGGGTAACTCGGCTAACTTCGCTTCTTCCAGCAGTTCGCGAAGGTAAAGTCCCTCCTTGGTGGCTGAGCAGAGTGCAATATATTCCGCTTCAGCTGAAGACAGTGCGATTAACTCCTGCTTACTCGACTGCCAGGAGATGGGTCCGATAGGCTCGAGGCGGTAGACATAGCCGGTGCGTGAGCGCCTGTTATCGGTGTCGCCGGCGTGATCGGCGTCGACGTAGCCGATTAGCTTGGTCGGTGTAGTTGCGTTTTTGTGATAAGTTAATCCGATCGTCGCGGTGCTGACGAAATAGTGGAGAGCGCGATCGAGTTCCGCCAGATGCTCTGCTTCAGGCTTCTTGAGATAGGTGGCGAGCTGGCTCGCGGAGTAGGATAAGTCGGGACGGCATGTGACTGCTGCGAAGAGAAGACATCCGAGCTTCTTCTGATAGTCGCGTATGCCGGCGGGCTTGAGTAGGATAGATCGTCCCTTTTCGGTTCCTGACGTGTAGCGGTAAGGCGTGGAGATGGCGCTTGGTGTGAGGCTGAAGCGTTTCGCGATGGTGTCGGCGTACTTCTCGGCGCTTAGATAGATTGCGTTTTCTTCCTCGCGGATGTTGAGCCCGAGGTACTGCGTAACGGTAGAAGAGACCGTGAGCGTGAGGTCTTTCTGAAGCTCCCCTTCGAACCACGTGGCGATGCCGTCGGTTGACCCAATGTAGAGGAGATCGTCCACGTAGACGATTAGGAGAACGTAGTCACTTCCCTTTGTGAGGCGATACATGCCCTGGTCATGCGGGAGTTGTTTGAAACCGATGCGAATGAGGCGGGCGTGTAGGTACTGCTGCCACAATCGCGGTGCCTGCTTGATCCCGTAGAGCGACTTAAGCAGTTGACAGACTCGGTTGGGTTCGCCGTGGGAGCCGTGCGGGAGCTCGACGAAGATTTCTGCATCCACAGGTGCGTTGAGAAATGCGTTTGCGACGTCGATTTGTCGCAGTTTCTTTTTCTTCATGGCGGCGACGGCGATGAGGATTCGGAGTGAGGTGTGACGGCTGACCGGAGCGAAGGTTTCGGTGTAATCTCTTCCGTGCTCCTGGTCAAAGCCGCGTACGACCCAGCGAGCTTTGAATTTGTCGATGGTGCCGTCAACTTTCGTCTTCACACGGAAGACCCACTTTCCGGTAAGGATAGTCTTGTTTTGTGCTACGCCGTGAGAAGGTTAGAACGAGAATGAAATGACTATGAATGAAGTGAGTACAAATAGGAAACTCTAGTTGGGTTGTACCCCCTATGGGATACCCCACTATAGCCTACACAAAGAAGTAAGCTATAATATTCTGACACACCCCCATAGGCAAAGTGGGGGAGAAGAAGGGGTCACAAGACCAGTCAAGCAAACAAAGCAAAGCTCAGGGTGGATCACAAAGTCACCACACATTCCGAGCACAAGTTCAAGGGCCACAAGGCCAGTTCACATGCAAGACCATATATAGAGATATACAAGAGTCAAGCAAGCAAGAGCAAGAGTATATATATAGGTCGAGGTACAAGGAAGGTCAAGAAGTGAGCAAGTGAGGCAAGACAGGCACAAGACCCAACTGCGTGCAGCAACGCTGATGATCACAAGGCGCAAGTGCCTTGGTGAAGACATCAGCAGTGTTGGCCTCAGAGGCCACGTACGCAAGTCGCAACTGTCCACGCTGCTGTAGCTCACGAGCAAGAAAGTAGCGGAGAGCAATGTGCTTTGTCCTGTGCTCCAGTCGCTGCTCTCGACACAAGGCCAGCATGGCCTTGTTGTCTACGTACAGGACTGGAGGAGAACGAGGCGGCTCTCCAAGGTCGGTCAACAGGTAGGTGAGCCAGCGTAACTCCTGTGCAGCCATAGCCCCGGCGTAGATCTCAGCCTCACAACTAGAGCCGAGAACAGAAGACGAGCGGGTAGCCCGCCACGAAACAGAGCCGAAACCAAGGCTGAAGGTGTAACCCTGTGACGACCGCTGCGTAGCCTGGTCGTCAGCCCAAGAAGCGTCCGCGTGCCCAGTGAGGACCACTGGACTGCACCCTCCAAGCACTAGCCCCATGCCCGACGTACTGCACAAGTAGCGCAACACCCTCTTCGCTGCAGCCATGTGCTCTGGTCGGTGTCTCCCAGGAGCAACATAGCGTGCAAGAATGCTAAGAGGGTATGCAAGGTCAGGTCGTGTGCAGGTCATCAGGTACATGAGGCAGCCAACAAGCTCTGCATACGGGCCACTCGACTCTACGGACTCATCCGAAGGCAGAGCTGAGAGCGAGTGGCGAGTAGGCAGAGGAGTGGCCTGAGGCGAGGAGTACGTGAAGCCAAAGCGCTGAAGGACCTGCTGCACCATGTGTGACTGAGTCAAGGTAATGGTGCGGCGTGCTCTGTCTCGGGTGATCTGCAAGCCAAGGTAGCTGCGCAGTTCACCCAGGTCAGTGCATGTGTGTCTCTTCTGCAGCTCGAACTTCACGTAGGCGAGTCCAGCAGTGTCAGCTGTGGCAAAGACCAAGTCGTCGACGTACACGAGGATGTAGAACGGCGGCAGAGAGGTGTCGGTGCGCAGAAACAGCGACGGGTCGGCAGTAGAAGGAGCAAACCCAAGTGCCGCCAGCGTAGTCCTCAGTGTATCGTGCCACTCACGTGGCGCCTGGCGGAGACCGTAGACTGGACGCCGGAGACTCCACTGGGTACCAGGAGGGAAAGACCCAGTGAAGCCAGGTGGGCGACGCAGCCAGATCTCCTCGTGCAGGCTGCCCTGCAAGAAAGCTGTGCTGAAGTCGAGAGAGTGCAGCTCGTAGTCACGGTGAGCAGCAACGTGCAGCAGTACCCGAAGAGTGGTCATCTTTGGGGTGGGGGAGAAGGTCTGAAAGTAGTCAACCCCCTGCCGCTGACTGAAGCCACGAGCCACGTAACGCGCCTTGAAGACAGGCGGAGAACCCGGCGGCCGCTTCACCCTGAAAATCCACATGCCACTGACGATGTTCGCCCCAGGAGGGGGAACAGCGTCGACGTAGGTGCCTGTGGACTTCCAGGAAGCCATCTCTGCATCCATAGCTGCCTGCCACTGAGAGGAGTAGGGACCCTCTATCGCCTCCGCGTAAGAGCGCGGAGTCGGGATGTCAAGTGCATCCGGGTCTCCCTCAAGGGTGAGCGGTACAGACGCGAGATGAGGTGAAGCGGCGGCCAGACACTGGAACTCCTCCTGCCTGTCCTCAAGGACGTCCGTGCCTAGGGCACACTCACCCCCGACGGACGGAGGACAGGCAGACTCAGACTCAGCGACAAGACTAGCAGCGTAGTCTAGACGACAGCGCGCAGCAAAGTCGACAAGCTCAGTGACAAGGGCAGACGCAGCAGAAGACTCGAAGGAAGGGTCAGTGACAGCAGTAGCAAGGAGACGCGTGACAGTGGGACTGGCAGCACGAAGAGAGTCCGACTCCGGGTCGGCAAGAGCAGGAAGAGAGGAAGTAGGAGGAGAAGGCAAAGGGGCACGCAGAGGAGCAGTGGACGGACGCAGAGACATCCGTTGCGTGCCAGGGACAGGAGGAGGACGCTGACGCGAACCGCGACCACTAGCGCGCGCAGCACGAACAGGCGACGCAGGATGAGACGCAGGCTCACGACGCTCAGTAAGACCTCCAGTCGGACCAGCGTAGGGAGAAGGAGCAAGCAAAGGTGAGGCAGGCTGTAGCTGTGACTGTGACGAGACACGTTGTGGACCCTCTAAGGGAGGAGGAGGAGGACCAGGAGAAGGTGTAAGACCAAGAACCTGCTGCAGGAGCGGAACGAAGTACGGCTGGGGTCGCGCGGCGACGCTAGAAACAGCAGGGACAGCACCAGTACCCCCAGCAGGAGTACCCGCTCCAGCAGCACCTCCATTAGCTCCAGAACCTCCAGCAGCACCACCAGGAGCACCGCCAGTCGGACCTCCAGCGGCAGTCTCAGCGTCAACACCCTCAGCAGCACCAGCTCCAGGAGAACCCTCAGACCAAGCAGCTCCAGCACCCACAGTACGAGCACCACCGGGACGCTCGGTAGCAGTACCCTCTGCAGCCGAAGAACCTCCAGCACCAGCAGCACGCCTCCAGCGCCTGGCAAACCACTCACGTAGCTCCTGAGGGGAGAGTGGCTCTCGGCGAGACGAAGCACCTCCA